TATATATATATATATATATATATATATATATAATTATCACACGCTCACATGCGTGTGATAATTAGATGAAATGTATTAATTGCCCAGTCCTTTTCAAATGAATAATGTTCAACATAGTATGATCCAATTTGATCTAGTCATGATAGTCTCCCATCCATCCATCCATCCATCCATCCATCCATCCATCCATCCATCCATCCATCCATCCATCCATAGTAATTCACCCTCCTACCAGAGGGGGCGGTGTTGTGCAGAACAGGTAGATCTACACGGCCTTCTGCATGGCATACCTTCAATTCCATTCGTTTATTGCAAGAAAATGCCAAGTAAAACTAAGTACTCGGTTGCTTAATCGGATTCATTCTTTGTTATTCAGCTTTAAAGGAATCCAATTTCTTTTAAGAGTGGAACCCTGCGACACAAACGGTAATTCAGCTAACGTTAAGTAGGCTAGAGATAAACAAAACTGGAAATATCCTTTCAGCTAACCATTTTTAAATGAATTGAACTAAATACATTTTTGATGACATATAACATCGTTCACTTCTAGTATTTAGTGTCAGACTGATATTCAGTCATTTTTTTGTAGCTATGTTACATTCAGCATGTGAGCGGTTAGCTTCATATTAGCTTGGATACGGAGCAACGCTAAAGTTAATGTCTGTTTGAGAAATGTAACCCTTTTGAAATCTGCTTTGATTGATACTAGATTTGAAACAACGGGTTTCGTCATTGATGTTTTTTTTTTTATTATTGTTCTTAAAGAATAACGTAAAATCACCTGGCAACGCTTGGTTATTTTTAAGATGTTCAGTTTGTTAAGCTGCACTAAATAGCCTCCTGTGTCTGGAGCTAATCGATGATCTTTTGAGCAACTGACCCACTAAAGGTTTGGCTTGAAACTAAATTGGATTTGTGGAAATTAATCTTATATGTAAAGCACAGTAGAGGTGTTTGATGCTGTGGGCATTGTTTCTTCGTGTTTTCTTAATGTCCTGTTTTGGGCAGGATAGTTATTATAAAAATGTCTTTTTTTTGTGAAAGAGAGTAATAACTTATATCAACAATGCAGTTAAAAGCAGAAACCACTGCGTTACATTTGGAAAAATTCAATCATTATAAGCAGTCTTTTTTTCTGACTAAATATCTTACAATTTATTAGAATCTAAATCAATAACTGACCCACTTGCACTTCTCTCTCTGATTTCTTTATCAATTTTCTTTCTCTTTCCTTTTTTAGCTGCTGTTTTCTAAATGTGAGAGGATGTACTCCAGAAGATCTGACTACAACCACAGGCGGCAGGACGGTGACAGAAATTCAAGACGAAACAGGGAGGACTATGATGACAGACGTGGAGAAAGACATGATCTCCACAGTAGTACCTCTCGGGACTCCTATCATAAATACACCAGAGATGGACACAGTAGCACGGACAGGGCGAGCAAAAGTAGACATTACAGTGGGTCTCCTAAGAGGCTGCGCAGTTCAGATTCAGCAAGCCGAGACTGGAGCAGAAGAAGCCCTCAGAGGAGGCGCCTGTCCCCGTCTAGTTGGGATGTGCCAGTGGACAAAAGGCGAAAGAATACAGAGGATAAGGATAACTATAGATATAGGCGGGATTCTTCAGAAAAAACATACAGGGCCTCACCATCTAGGTCTTCATGGAACCAACAGTTGAGATATTCACCGTCACATGAAGATGATGTGAGGTACAGGAAAACGTCTCCATATTCAAGATCTGTGCGTCACCGTGAAGAGTTTCCTCCTAAAAGACAGTATGAGGATTTCAGCGACGCAGATTCCCCTGATCGCTATGAAGCAAGGAAACGGAGACATGGGAGTGGACAGGAAAGGACACACTCACCCGATTACTCTACAAAGGTTAGTTTTAAACTTGTAATGCTTCAACAGACATAACATTTAAGGCTACGTTAATCTGATTAATAAAAGTGTTTTAATAACTAACAGAATCAGGCCGAGATGAGATCTACATCGACATATGATACATATTATGAAAGCAGAGCCTCTGCACAGCTAAATGGATCCAAAGAACAGGTACATCTTTTATTTTTTGATGTTTTCTACTTTCAGAATATTTCTATTGCTTTTTGTGTAAACCTTTCAAGTTTACAAAAGCACACATTTGGTTTTCACATAACAACTAATCAAATTTTATGATTTATTACTTGATATGTTGCATTTCATGTACAATTGGTCTGTTGATTACAAAAGGGTAACAACAAATAAGTTCATTTAGAATAAAACAAAATAACTATTATGACAGAGTACGGAGAATTACTTTAAGACCCTGCAGAAAACCTGTCTTTTATTTTTTCACTGTAGAAAATGTTTCTTTTAGAATTAAAGCCCCTTTTATAATATTTACAGTGATGTGCTTACAGAAATGTAATATATTATACATAAGTATGGTATTGATTAGGGCTGGGTAAAAAAAAAAAATCGATTTTGAATCGATTCCTTTACATTTTTGCGAAATGGATGTCTAGGGAATGAGATCAATTAGTTTTATAGTGACGTGCGTGACGTTCACATTCAAATGAGCAGGAAAGATGCACTTAAAATACTTCAAGCCAGAAAGCTGCAAACATAGCTAATAGGTTGATTGAAGACATTAACAAATGGAGGCTGACCAGCAAACACCCTGTAGTTGTTACAGACAGCGCTGCAAATATGCTTTGTGCAGTGGAGATAATGCAGCTCATGCATGTCTGCTGTGTCCCGTCTGTTTGCACGAGTGAGGCCTTTTCACTTTTCACAAACAAGTTTGCACTTTTGAGAAGACTTTTGTTCACATCTCAAGTTTAAACTGTCCCATTTACAAGTTTGCACTGTGTGTTTAATATGACAGAAAAAATAAAATGCATGAGTATTTTGAAACATGGTTGAATCACTTTCATTATTGTATAAACAGATCTAATCGAAATGAATCGATTTAGAACTGTATGAATCAAAGTCGAATCAATTCAGGACTTTGGCAAAAATACCCAGCCTTAGTATTTATAATGATTTATGGACTAAAACTCCACCTTTATGTTTGCTTTGTCTTAGAAATTGGTATTTATAATTACATAGGAGCGGGTCTCGCATTAATGGAGACAGACATTTTTGGGCTACGGTAGTGCAGAGAGGCCTAACTAGTGACTGCAGAGATCGATATTCCCCTTGAATGTGACTGTGACAAGTTAGCCTTATATAGAATCTATATCCTACACAGGCTAATAAAATATTACTTATAAAGGGTCAATGTAAACAAACCTCTTCATCACTTGACAAGATGAGTAATGGCAACGTTTCGGAAGCCACTTTGTACCATAAAATTCTTCGTGTTGTTGGAGGGGGAGAAGCGGTGGGGGGGAGCGGTTCGTGTCACCGCTGTCTGACCATTAGATGTCGCTGAAAATGACGCACTTTAAATTGGAACAGCACAAATAGGCTTGGAGAAAAAAAGGAAACTACTTCTGTGGGGATATATATTTTTATTGCTTGAGATCACTTGCATGCGAGTATTTAAATTTTTTGTTGTCTTGATTGCCTTAAACACCAAAAGTTATTTTGTTTGATTTGTTTTTCTGCTGTTTTGAATGTAGCCTAGAAAGGGATCACAAGTAGGTGTTGTTTTGAAATGATTTGTTGGATTCATGCATCTAAAATTGTGGCTTCTGTGTTTCCCATAAGTATCTTAAAATCGACGGGACTCCACAAAGCGCCGCCCGCCCTGAAGAAAAGTCGTCTAAAGGCTTCCAACGCTTTCTTGATATACTCAACAAGGGCGTGAATGTTGACGTCCTCAATCAGATAGTAAGTCAGAGCCCCAAACCGCAGTGTGATGGGCGCATTTCTTCAAGCTCTTTTGTGAAAGTTTCAGATGAACGTTGGTATTCGGGTAGCACAGAGAGGGAACAGAAAGGCTACGCAGATAACAGCCGCTGGAAGGAAAGTAAGGGATCCCTCAGGTCTTTGTCTCCGCAGCGGGATCATGGGTCCGCCAGTCCAAACGGGAATCAAGTCTCTGTCAGAGAGGGCTCCTTTGAGGCCAAGTCTCCCTCAGTGGAAAAGATAACTATGACCCCTGAAGAGCTGCAAAAGCACAAACAAATGCAAGATGTTTTGCAGGCTATTGGTATGGATCTGGGAATCGAAGAGCTCGGCCAAATGTCTCATCGGATTCAGGAGCGTCTCTATGGCAAGAGAGACAATGAGGGTGGGAATAGGTTCAGTCGGGAAAGAAGTGTTGAGCAGCCAAACCCTGTGAGATGTCGAAGTAGATCACCAAGCACGCCCAGCGTTACCTCACCACGTCAGAGCTGTTATACAAAGAGAGACACGAGGGAGGAAGCAGACATGCCGCAGTCTGGATACAGTTTGGAGTTAAATCAAAAGTCTTCTCTGGAGGATCAGGGAAGTGTGGGAAATAGAGCTAGCCCTATGAAGATCCCTCCTACTCCGAATGCTCCGACTGCTCTCCCTTTCAACCCTATCCACTCAGTAAAGCAACTTCCTCCTCCATCAATGCCACCATTTCCACCATATCCTCCCAGCAACAGTTTACCACCGTCGTACCCCAACGTTCCTCCACCTCCTCTTCCTTTTTTGCCCCCCTTTGGATCAGGAAACTTCTTTCCTCGCAACCCCCACATGCTCCGCACTCCAGCTGTGCCGCCGCCTCAGCTGTCTCAGTTTGGACCGCTGGTCCCACCACATATGCAGCTTTTGAATCCAACAAGCATACATGCTCAACAAGCCATGAACCCAGTGGAGAAAAAGAAAGAAAGGCTGGAGAAAAAGAAAGAAAGGCCTCGCTTCTTGCAGGTTATTAAATAAAGTGCATCTTACTCAGCATAAATGGTTTGTAGCCTTTTTTTTTGTTTGATTGCTTAGAATTTCCAAAACAAACAGTAACAGGTTGAAATGATGTTTTTGGAGATTATAAATAAGCCTGTATAGTTTAATAACATAAAGTAAATAGTCAGTGCTCTAATGCACATGTTCCACCTGAAATGACGTTGAGCATCTGAGGAAATGCTGTTTGCACTGGACATTTACCAACACCAGCAGTAGCAAATCAAAATGGTCCTCAATCAACTGCATCTGTTTAGCAAATAAAATCTGTAACTGCTGATTTCTGCTCTGATTTCTGTTCAATATTTGTTTAAAAGATGTAAACCCATGCCTCATCTTGTTAACATGAAGGCAGACTGTCAAATATTTTTGTTTATATTTCTGTACATGTAATTAACTGATGTTTAATAATCGGAAATGTAAAATATTAAAGACAGTTCCAAATAAACTTCAAAGGAAATCCTCTTATATTTGGGGGGTTTTGTTGTATAAAAAGCTACTACAGTCGTATATTTGGTAAGGTTCTCTTTAAATGCCATCAGTTTGTTGAACTTTCTTTCAATTCTGTTTTTTTCTGTTGTCAAAACACAAGAAATAAAGCATTTGCTTTAAGTTCTATTTAATATGTAAAATTGTTGAAATGTTACTGATTGTTTTTAGCAAATAATTTATCTAAACTGCTGTTTATAAATGTTTCCACAGTCAGAGCCATTCTAAAAACATGCAGAATTTACGGTAATGTGGAAATACTTTGGCTTTATGTAGAGACACTGTATAACTAACAATAGTATAAAACCTGTTAGTTTTTTATATATATTAGCTTGCAAATTAAACGGTAAGGGTTTAAAGTTGGCATGTTTGAAGGAAAATTGGGAAAATCTGTGAATGCAGGTGAGTTAAATGGGTTATGGCTGGGAAACCATCTCTAAATGAAAGTTCCTTGTCTGTACAAATCAATTTCGGTGAAATATGGTTAAAGAAGGTTTAATGGCAAACTGGTGAGAAATTGGGTGGTTTGAATGGTTTCTGTTTAAATACATTAGCTAAAGAAAGGAATTGTGGATTTGGTAGAAAGGTGTCAGAATATTTGGTGCATCTTGGCTTGTTGCATGTGGAAATACATGATCTCAGCCCAGCCAGGGTTGACACTTGATTGGCGATGCACCAATATCAGAAATGCGCTACATAAAAAATGTAAGAAGCTGTTCTGGTTTGATGGATCGCTTTTTACATCACATGGGTGGGTTACCTGGGGAACACATGTCACTACAGATCACTTTCACAGGAATGGAGATGCTGCTTTTGACCATGCCTCTCATGTTGATGTTCCTCTGACATGCCACCCATCTAAGTAGTGTTTCAATTGGTGTAAGCTCTTTCATGGAAATGGGAGCTCCTCGGTTGTCCTTGACCTCCTTTAGCAGCTTAATATGCCCTGCCAAAAGACATGTTTAGTTCAGGAGCACAACAACAATTTAATTTGCTGACTTGTTTAATCAGTTTAAGGCCTGCCTGGCAGCTGCCACGCCTGATTAATGCATAAAGCCGGTTCAGTGTTAGTCATAATAACCCTTTTTGGTCTGGTTTGGTTTGTATCAGTCAAATACATTTCACTTTGCTGAAAAACGTTTTTTTTTTTTTTTTTTACAGCTCTGTGGATTATCTCTTTTATTTTTTGAATTCTCATATTTGAAACGGTTTCTGGAGGAAAACGAGATTTTTGAATCACTTATATTGAAATGGCTTGAAATAATAGTATATTTTGGTGTTTTAAAAATTACTCTAGAGACATTGTTTTATTCTGATTTTCATTTTAAAGTAAACTATTTTAATGTCATAACTCATTTTTCAGTAGCTGTGCAGCTTTTTTTTTAACTTTCCAATATTACAAGGAGGAGGTTAAGGTAAATTCTGGTTTTCCTTTCCTGCAACACCTTTTTTATCAAATTATGACACAGTCATTGCTCTTTATATAGTTGTTTTTATTCATATTGAAAATATCATCTATATAAACTAAAGTAAGAATTTCCTTCTGTTCTTCAGTGATAGTCCTCCAGCTATTAGTGGCGCTATTGAGCATTTTTACTTCTAAAAGCGCCCCTTTACTCCATTGTTGTTTACAGACGGTTAATGTTTTTTCCTGTATTTTAGGGGTTTGCTTAGCCACCTATTGTCATCCTTTTGTTCATAACGTCCGATTTTATTTCGATCACATAGATCGTGGATGATGTAGCAGGTGACGGTTTTCTAAGAGAAGGTAAACCTGCTAACTCCGATGCTAAGCTATGATGCTAAGCTATCTGTAAACGCGTCTTTGCTTCATTTATGACGTCCATTTACTTGTATTTTAAATAAAATAAATATTTATTCTTGCTGTAGGTTTCGATTAATCGTGGTCCCACACATTTTTAGTAATCGTAATCCCAGATAGTAGTGTTATGGTGTCGTTAGCTAAATCCTAACTGGTTCTGTTTGTATATGGTAGTGATTTCTCCACTGTTTTAATGTGTGTGTGTGTATTTTCTGTTTACTTTTTAGAGTCTTCAAATACTGTGAAAGGCAGGAGGATGAATCCACATGACTGGAGTCATGTTAAAAGGCTGCAGATGCGTCAGGAACCGGATCAGCAGAGGGTTTTAATGAGCAGCAGTGACCCAAGGCTGACTGGTGACTGGGACACATTCCCTGTACACCCTGCTGTTCAACTTCAGAGTAGGAGTGCAGCCTGGAGAGAACCCAGTCCTCCAGATCTAGATGGAAAACCATTAGAGCAAGACGATCCTGAATTGATAAGGAAGAAACGACAGCTCCAAGAGTTACACGATCAGATTATGCAGAAGAAAGCCAAAATTGCTTTTAAAGCAATAGAGATTACAGGGACTAATCCATCTGAGCCAGATGTTCTTGATGGCAAGGAGTTGGCTACCTGCAATCCTGGAACGCTTAGAGACAGAGTGACAGAAATATTGCAGCAACGTTCATTCAGCTTTTTCTCCAAGGTAATTAATATAAAATGGATATCAGGTAACCGATACTCAGCTTTGTGTAGAGATGGATAAAGCTTCCATCCATCATAGTTTTTGTTCATTTTTCCCTTACTGATTTTATTTTAAACTTCTTTATTTGAAGTTGTAAGTTATATTTAAAGCATTGCTTTAGTAAAATATATAAAGGGAAAATTTGACGCACACGTTTTTAATTTTGGTTCATATTCTCTAATCCTAACAGGTTTAAAGTTACAAGTTCAAATATATGCACATTCCAATTAATTCAAGAGTCAATCAAAATGCTGGTCGGAAAGTTCTAAAACTTCACAAAGCAAAGGCCTGCTAACTCTTGAGTGGCCATTTTCGACTAAACCTGAAAGTTTTTTTTTTTTTATATAGGAGACATAGACAGGTATGGGGCATTGCAGGCTAACAAAAGAAGCTAAACAAATCGTCCCTTTCAATTTGCATGTTTTCTAAAACAAGGCTTTTGTTGGGCTACTGTATAAAGCCTCAAACTCAATGCTATTTCTGACATTTTGAATTGAAAAAGCTCCCTGGATGGGAAGCGAAACGTTTTCAAACTTGGAAAAAAAAGTCCAGTGGATTTTTTTTTTTTAACCTTTTTGGGATGACTACAACCTGGATTACTCAGAATCTTCCCCATCCTTTTGTATGTAGGATTTAACATAGGCCTGACCAGCGCTAGAAGTTTGTCTACTCTTAAAATCTAACAAATAGAATTGAAACTTGGACGCTTGTGATCTAAAAGTTAAATCCACCTGGTTTTTGGAAAAGGTGAAATATACCAAAATGATGCTCCTGGAAAACAGAAAACTCTGATCACAGTTATGAAGATTTCTTGTCTACTTAAAAAAACAAAGGCAAACAAAGGCAAAACATGCTAATTGTATTAAGTGCAATAAGTTTAAATTTTGACACTGTGAGATGCAGCTTGCTAAAGTGCAGTTATCTGTATATGATTTTGACTGATGTTGTATATGTTTTAATCCAACTTGGATTTGAGAATATTTTTGAATGAATCAATTACTTCTGCAAACTTTTTTTGTGTTTTTTGTTGGTTTTTGTTTTATTTTTCCATCCTGAAAGGTTAAGAATTGCCAGCTAAGGATGCAATTACTAAACTTCTGTGTCTTCTTTTAATTCCTAGGTTCAGTTATCTAGACAAACGGAAAAATCTTTTACTTTGAGCAAAGATAAAGTGAAACTGCACCATCCCCTGAAGCTCAGAGTGAAGACATTAAATGCACACCGACTTCGTAACCCCTGTGTTTTACCACCCCCTATAGAGAAGGTTGGTTTTTTTGTTTTTTCTTTTAAATTTCTCTCTGTGAAAAAGAAAATCCATTCTGACCACAGAACAGAAGTGTACCATGGTCCCTTTTGCTGCAAATGTAGAATCTTTGCATCTAGATTAGCCTGATAAACCAAACTAAATGTGAGATTAAATGTGTAATTTAGTCTGGCCCTTTGTCTTTTAAACCATATCTGTGTCTGTTAGCCAACGTTCTGACCAATTAGCGTAACTGACTGTGACGTAGTGAGCGCGACAGAAAGCTGGTGGAGTGTAAACAAACAGCCTGTCGGTAAAACAGCGATTACGTTCTTCTAAAAACTGAATGAGCTTAGAGCCTCTTCCTGCTCACATTTCAACGAAAAGTCTAATCCTTCCAAAGCTGAGTCAAACGAGAACTATTCAAAAGTTGTTGCCATCTTCCTTGTTGTGCTTTCTCCAGCGTCGTGCAGCTTCGTCGTCACGCCCACTTTGCATCCAGAAATTCAAAACACATCTCTGCATAGTGATTGGCCCGCCAGATTTAGGGCCTGGAGCATTGATCGAGGCTAGACCAAACTCGCTGGCAAAAATGATTTTGGACGCTGGCGGGTGGGGCTAGTTTACTAGGCTACATCTAGATGGCAGTTATAAATCATAAAGTAGTACACCTTTGGAATTAAAGATAAATGAGGGCTCAGTGGGAAATATGTGATCATTGCTTGGATTTTTTTTCTGTTTAAATATTAAATTGCTATATTTTCAATTCATTTAAAACACGAACGAAAGGTGATCAAGCTTCCAAATTATATTCTTAAAGATGGCTTTAAAAGGTTAGATGAAAAGGAAATAGACAAATTTAATGTTTTTTTTGTAAATTTGGGCATGATAGTTTTGTGTAAATGTCGACTAAAAAGGTTTAATTCTATTAAACAATCTTTATTTAATTCCAAAATGAAAAGAGAAGTGTTATTGTGTATTTTCAAAGCCTTCAAAACCAATGGATCAACTTATAATGTAAGCATGGATATCATATTATTTAAACTGTTTAATTTTTTTTGAGTTATCTAATACCTGCCAACATAACTGTTTGTGTCTCTGCTCTGCCTGCTTAGCATGTTTTCACACCCAGTCGTTAAGGTTGATTGTTGTCGCTGACCCGCTGTCAGAGTGTTGGCCGGTTATTAGAACCCAGCTCATGGGCGATGAAAATAAAAACACTCCAAGCCGCTGTAGTTGGTTGTCCGATGGATTGTTAGCTTGCCAGGTTCAAAAGTCTGCTGCTTTACATATTTTCCACGGCGGGAGTTCTGTGGGGTAGCAGGGATAGTCAGAATCCCGGCTCCAAAACTGCCTCTTCTCTCCTTCCTATGACTCAAATCTGAAGGTGAATGGGCTCCAAAGCATTTTCAATGTGATTAAGATGCTTCAGTGTCATTTGAGCTTGTTGTGCTTGTTGTGATCTATCAGAGGTATATCCATTAAATTCAATTCCTGAAACTAGAGTTGACCAACCCTGTGATGTCACCGTCGGAGGTACTGCAATATGGCGGCGCCCTTACCCCTTACCCATTTTTCTTTAGCTTGTATATTTTTCACATTTCTAATATAATTATTGATAAGACACAATGTCATGAATCACTTCCACTTTAAAAGCTTCATCTGTGCTGAAAAGAAGTTGTTTTACAGAAGTTGATGAGTGTGATGTTTCACAGGTTCCAGATGTCCCTCTGCATTGTCCTGACAGCTTCACTTCACCTCAAAAGAAGCTGGAGAGCACCGCCGAAAAGGGATACGAGCGTTTACTCGGTGCTCTTAAAAAAGCAGCAGAAGCAGCCCCTTATTTCAACAAAAAGGTACAATTTGCTTCTCTTCATTTACAGTCCGGTGATAGTGATGGCCTCTTAAATAGTTTTGTTCCGCTTAAATTTATGGGATTATCAATATATGAAATGAAGATAACCCCCCAAAACATGTTTTTAAAAGATGATTTTATTCTTTTAGGGGAAAAAAGGTTTTCTAACAATTAATATTTAAACAACGCAAATCAAGTGTAAAATTCAGGAATGTTCCTCTCTACACTGTTAGTATTTCCTAAGATTAATAAAATGAATAAATCGATAGTATTATTTATATAGAAAACTAGATCTGTTTTTGTGGGTTGAGGTAAAGGGGTTGGGTGGAAGTGAATTGGTCCTCAGTGGTCACACTGGCTTTCCAATTCTGTGGGGTCTAAAGAGCTCTGCCATCCTGTAATCTGCGAGCAGCAGGAGGAAAAGGAAAAACAGAAAAGTAAATACAATTCAATTCAGTTTATTTTTATAGCATCGATTCACAACACATCTCATCTCAAAGCACTTTACAGAGACAATTCAACCAGATCATACAGTCAGATTGGTTCAAGTTTTCATTCTAGGGAAAATCAGCTGATTGCATCGCCTTATTGACATGAAAGCGATCCGTCAACATTTAGCTTATGCCTGTGGAGACAGAATTCCCCCAAATCTTTAAAAAAGGGCAAAAAATGCTTATTCTGTTCACATCTACATACCTATGAGGTTTAGGTTTTTCTGCAATAATACGGATAAAGAAGAATTAGCAGTCAAACCCTGCAGGTAAAGGATATGTTTAATATTGTCATCTGACTGCATCAGGGGCCTGTGCATCTCAGAGAAGCAAATGAATTTCTTCCTCTACTGAGCTCTATGCACAGCTCCACTACTTCCTGAACTTCAGCAGCTCCTTTGTTTCCTGTCTTTTATTAATGGACTGATAAATCCAGGTGTGTCTGGCTGGTAACTGAGATTTCTTTTCTTTCTTGCCCTCATCTGACTTCTGCCTGCTCTCTATTTTACTCTTCTAAGTAGATTTGTCTACCTTATCTTCAACTGTTCTTTTCACCAGTGTTCCTGTTTTTCTATACTCTCATTAAATCTTTCGATCAGTCTTGCTATCTTCTTCTCTCCCCTTCTATCAGTCTTACTCTACTCTTAAACGGAGAGATAATATAATCACAATCCCTTCCAAAAACAATCAGGGATGTCTGGTCGCCATACTGCAGAGTGTAGTTTTTCTTATAAACTGTATACTATTTGAATGTAAAACAGTTGTTTTTTTTTCTCTCTTATCATAATCCTTTGTTTATGCTTTTTACTGGTCCGTTTTTAGGAAATTTATTATTTGCTATTGCAGCTTTAACCTACTGTGGATAGCATGTGAAAATGTGCCTTTTTGGCTTTACCTCCCTTTGACACTGTATAAAATATTTATCTGTGGAGCCTTGATTAATTAAATGTTATGGCTTTCTTCATGAGCAACTCTGACACACTTAAAACATTTCCTGCCTAACAGATCCTTGTTTTTAGGAAGATTCTGCATAAATAAATAGAAATGATCATGGTGCTTTTGTAGACAAAATTTATATTTTGTATACAATGTTTTTCCAGATCCCTGACGTCTCGCTACCTCCTCTCAACCAAAACGATCCTCCTAGAACAAAGAAAAGCAGCACCAATGTTGGTTCTGAGGATGAGAGCAGGCCCAGCCGCAGTTCCAACTACAAGAATGGCGTTGATAGAAGTCTAGAGGGTGAGAGCAGTGTCAGCAGCAGTTTGAAGCCTGTAAGCGGTGCAAAGAAAGTTCCTGAGCAGGAGAGCACTGTGGAAACACATTCTGACAACAACAAATCGTCTGCCAGAAGCTCGAATGAGAAAAGTGTCAAGAGAAGTTCGGACCAAGAGAGTAGTCCAAGAAGAGCTTCTGAAGGTAAAAGCAGTTTCAGCAGAATGTCTGAGCACAAGAAAAGAGACGACAGAGGCTCCGAGCGTGAGAGCAGCATCAAAAGAAAATCTGGAGGCAATAGTACTGTCAGAAGTGCTGAGCGCAAGAACAGCGTAAACACAGCTTCTGAACCAGAGGACGGTGCCAGCAGAAGCTCTGGACACAAAAACAATGGGGATGGAGCTTCTGAGCGAGAGACGAGTGTGACCAGAGGCTTTGACCGCTTTGTCAGTTTGCTTAACAGTGGGGTGGACATCAAGCGACTCAGTATGATTATCAAAGATGATGCTCCAGTAACCTCTCCTGATGTTTTGAAAAAGGCCTTCAAAAACGAAACCCAGAAGTGCGACACCGACTCTGCACTACCAGGCTGCAGTGGGATCAACAGTGTGAAGTTGGAGACGGAGCCCGTCAAACAGGAGGCGTCCTTACCTCAAGACAAGGAGGTAAAGAAGGTAAAAAGGAAGGGAACTTTGGACTCCAACAGCGAGTCGGAGCCCCCCCTCAATGTGAATAAGAAGAAGGAGGAAAAGAAGAAGGAAAAGAAGAAGGAGGAAAAGGAAACCCCAATGACGCACGAAAAGCAGAAGAAACTGCAAAGCATTCTTCAAACTCTGGGGTTGAATCTAGATGTGGAGGAGCTGAAGAAACTAACAGATCGCACTCAGGAGAGGCTTTATGGAAGGAATAGTGAACCACGACAGACGAGCGACAGCCAGAAGGAGCAAGAAATCCCACCAAAACGCATAAGACGCAGTAGATCTCGCTCTTCCTCTTCTTCCTCATCCTCTTCTACTTCTTCTTCATCGTCGTCCTTATCCTCTTCATCCTCTAGATCTTCCTCTAGAAGCCGTAGAAATCGGAGGCATTTACGTCGTCATCGGCGTTCTCGCAGCAGAGATTCACGTCGACGTTCTACTAACAGAGATGCACGTCGACGTTCTACTTCACGCCGACGTTCTACTTCACGCCGACGTTCTACTTCACGCCGACGTTCTACTGACAGAGATGGAGAAAAATGGCAAAACAGGAAAAAAAGTAGGGAAGAATTAGACAACTCCCTTTATAGAAACCAACACCAGGCCTTTCCCTCCCATTTCCCCGCTCCTTCTTCGTATCCTGACTACAGCTTGTACCAGTATGCCCAGTATATCAACTACTACAATGCCTACAGGGAAGCTATTAAATCCAGTTGGCCATTTGCTGCAAATCAAAGCCCCATCTCGCTCAACCTGCAGTCCTATTCACAACACCACTCCAATCACCCGGAATCGCTCAATCATGAGGATTTTTGGAACTTCATTGACCCAGACATGTCTAAGAGAAAAGATCAGAGGAAGAATAAATCTGATTCTGGCCTCATCTCAATTGATACTGAAACATCGAACAGGCTGAATAGGGAAGAACAAAAAAGACAAAAATCACCAGAAAGGTCTCCAAAGAAAAATGCTTCAAAAACATCTGATAGTGGGAAAAGAGCCTCAGAAACGTCTAATAGAGATGGAACATCCTCAGAAACACATGATGGAAGGAAAAAAGCCTCAGAGACACCTGCTACAGAGAAACCGCAACCAGAGATCATCACTGATAAGAAAGCAGTTGCAGGGACCAATGCTACAAACCAGGAATCATTCTTCTCAAAGAACTTTCCCTCAAAGCCCTCAAAACTTGAAGAATGGAGAAAATTAAGAGAGAAGAAGAAACAAGAGGAGGAAATAACAGCCAACTTGAGAGAAAAGGTAAGTGGAATTTTTCTCTTTGCCCTTTTAGTTGTTTAGACAGATGTTCATTCACCTTCTTCAGATGCTTTCCAAGCAAGCAACCAGATAACAAGCACCGCTTTAGATCAGTGCTTTTCAGCCCTAGTTTTGATGTAAGGCTACGTATGCACAGCTTTTATTTATTTGAGATCCTGGGATTATGACCACTTGATTATAAGATAAAGAGAAACAGAGCGTCACTACTAACAGTGGCCGTTAGTGGATCAGAGGCCGCCAAGATTTAGAATCAGACATGAATCCAGTTCAGTAGCGCATATCGAAATGGATCAAATGGTATTTTTTTTAGGTGAAAAGGAATTTGGTCGTACAAAAAGCCAAAAATTGTCAGTTTTGATGCTTTACATAGACTTAAGGCCTGAACTAGGGGTGTAAATCACATCCATTATGGCGATTCGATTCAGTATTGATTTCCTGACCCAACGATTCGATTATTTGCGATACTCAAGAATACACCACGATACGATTCGATTAATCGGTTAATTTTTTTTTTTTTTTTTTTTTTTTTTTTTTTTTTTTTACACCTTACAGGCTAAACAAAGTTTCAAGTTTGAAATAAGTCAATGAAAGCTGTAATGTTATGCTTTTTTTTTTTTAGAAACAACCGCAAATAACAGAAGTAGAAAAGTTGCATCAAAAAATACTGCAAAAATACTGCACATAATCAGTGCAATGAGTGCAATGAAATACCTCGGCTCCAGACGTCCCGCCCCCTCCACAGACACTCCGCTGCACCTCTCCCAAATTGTAGCTGACCACAGACAGCGCCGCAGACAGGAGGTTGGCTTGTTTTGTTTTTATGACCGAAATTGCGGGAAACAACCCGTGAAGTTTGACCCGCTAGAAGAGCGAGGTGCGTGAGAACACTGGGACCCTTTTTCCACCTGGATCTCTGCTCTTTTTGGCTCTCATGTCCCTCCGTCGTCGAACTAAACTGGCCCCCACTTCCTCACCGCCTCGGCCGTATCTAGACCCACAGCGTATAGCGCAGACCACACTTCAATATTGAGCATAATTTAAAAATGTCTGTGTCAAGCTTACTGCAGCACACTGCTGTAAGAGTATAACCAGGAAGCGCGGTAGGAGGGCAAAATAGATTTAGCGCCACCGCAGCACGGGAGGGAGAATTACGCCCAGGAGCAAATGGATAAAAATAGACCGGAGGAAAAAAAAAAATTAGTCGATTCTCTTGCAGACGTGTCGATGCATCGATACAAAAAATGATTATTATTTACACCTGGCCTGAACACAGCAGCTGCGTAAGACATTTTCATCTCTATTTCGATTCTTTTTCATGTCACACCATCAGGAGCCATAAATATGTAGCCTGGGTGCCATTCCGAACTTAGTCCCGCCCACAACGTTTGAGGTTGGGAAGTTCGGTCTGGCATTGCTCCATAGTAGCGCGAGTATGCTAGCACAATATCTTGCAGGCCAATCAAATTGTCAGGGTGGGCTTTATACGATGATGGACAGATGATCAACAGTAATGTAATCAACCATGTGACCAATGCGCGCTTGGGTGACAACAACAATGGCTGCCGCTGGAGAGTTGAGGTGAGTAGATTCTGCTATTAGGTCTGTTCTAGAAGATATTGACAGCAAATAAATTTTAAAAGAGGAACAGAGAAACGCGATCAAGGCTCATCTTCTTATTCTAGGCGTGCAACTGCACGCTTTGATTTTTGTGGACAACAACTATGCCTCGCTTAACATACGTCACGCACTCCGTTGCTCTTATTGGTTGTAGGTCTATCCAATTGAGTACAGAGGCATTTTTTTTCCTGGTTCGTTCAAAACACGCCCCATAATCACAGCTCTATGGAGCAGTATCAGACTCATATTCTGACTAGAATTGAGTCGGACTACGTCAGGCTAATAAATATGGGCGTTGAATTAAAAAATTAACAAATAATATTTGCACTCTTTTATTCCTTTTACAAGTTTTAATACTGCTCAGCAGCAGAGCTTTGTGAAGTAAAACAAAGAAAATAAATCCTTAATAGTTTTACTCAGATAACTGTAAATTACAATAACACCAAATCTCCAGATAACATAAATATGTGACCAAATCTCCTTGTAGCTTTTGGAGTTTAACCGGAAAGCGAAGCTTGTCACCCAGAATCCCAGCTCCATCCCCAAGCCGCCAGCGGCCTCTCTGGATTTGGAGCTCCAATAACGTAAGTAAACATAAATGACGTCTTCAGGTCTCATGTTTCTTCTGTATTTTTTCACAGCTGTTATTAATGCCAGACCCTTCACTCCTGTCTTTACATTAGTTGGAAGATACTTTGTAGGAGATTGTACAGAAAATCCAGAGATAAATTTAGCAGACCTGACAGGTGGTTTCAACCATTTGATTAAATTATAACTTCCTATGAGTTTTGGGTCATGTTCAACATGTTTCTTCATGATCCATGATGTTTTTCTATTTTCCTGAGACAGTGTGGGGTTTGTCAGATCTCTCTGAGCCAAATGGTCATCGAATGGAAATGTGTTTAAAATGATTCATTTGTTGATTTATTGCAGATATTACTGTTGCTGTAGCTTGGGATTTTCAAAGCTCATGCGTGCTCTGTTTTTCAGAATATAAAGAGTTTTAATACTTTACTAATAAATTCTGAAAAGGCATTGTTTGAGCATTTTTTATTTAAAAATGCAAAAACCTTTTACTATTATCATCTGATATTGAGGAAAATAAATTTATATGCAGCATAATTGAATGTTTGTGTGTTTTCTTTTCTTTCAGAGATGAGAAACTGAGACCCATGATGAATCCTGATGCGCCTCCATCTTGATCTGCAGTTTAGTTTTATTGTTTACCTACACTTATAACCGAATCATCCTTTCTGTCAAGTAAGAAGTAAATAACTTCTCAGGAGTTATATCTCTACCCATTCTTAGTCTAAGTTAAGGTTTTTACTTTAGTCTTCGATCTCACTGTTTTTTTTCATGATTTAACATTTATCTGCTCCCTTTATTGTCTCTAAGCCTGATTTTATTTTGTCATGTTTTACTTTCTTGTCTGTTCTCTCACTATAAAGATTTAAAACCTGCTTAAATTGTTGTGGATGGTTTTCCTATGCAAGTTTAACTTTTACACTTAAAGAAATGTCAGGAAAAAGTTTCATGAAGACCATAGAACACAGCAGACAGGAAAGAGTTTGTAAAACAACTTGCAAATTATATCATCTCCTAAATTAGTGCAATCCAAATTCTAGTGATGGAAAGACTTTGACACATGTGGCATGCTACGCTTTTCAGTTTTTGCTTTGTAAATTAGTTTTATTTCTTTTTTTCCCATTTCATTCTTCACTACTTTGTGTTGGTCTTTCATAAAAAAAATTTTATAGTATGAGGCTTTGTGAACCGAAGTTTGGTTCACAAAGAAGGAATTTACAGTACCCACTGTTTTCTAAAACGTTCATATTTTTATTCTTAATATATTTAACGCCTTTATGAGGTAGGCTTAACCATGAAAACAAATCACTCGATGTTTGGTAGAATACATCCACATAAGTTGATGTTGAAACAAGGTCGTCTCACATAGAAGTTAAAACAATACTGACGTTTTTTAATAATTGCGAAAACAAGAACTAAGAAGGCTCAAATAAATTACTCAAGGAGTCACATCCACCTTAATGACAATAAAACGTGATGCAGCTCCTGTGGAAAGGCAGCATGTTTTTTTTTTTTACAGTTCATCTTTTTCTTCTCCTGGACAGTAGCAGGCCGCCCTCTGGCTGTTCATGTAGGGTCTGCAGCCCAGAGTCCACACTGTGTTGAACAAAGTGTCGGCTACAGTTTCACATGCTGAGGATGACAGAAGAAATAAATGAGGGGTGGTTTGTACAGAAAGCTCAGGTAGCTGGGATGGGATGACATGCTGCAGTCATTTAGAAAAATAAGAGATACAAAATATTAGTCTTTAATACTTTATTTAGATGGTGACAGCTGATTAGAAAATAGATCCTAGATACCATTTAAGATTGATTACATTAATAGTACACACACACAATGGTACCCCTTTGTTTAAGGAAAAAAATAACTGCTTACAAAAAAAACTTTAAATGAGATAAAACTTTAATGCACTGATCTCTATTCACTGGATTGCTGATAGCATGATGGTAGTACAGGGTGGAGTGAAGTCACCGGCCGCCATATTGGTACTCCCTAGTTAGACTGGTCTCGATGTAAAGAATACATGCGTTAAAGCATCGAACAATGCTGCTTTTATCATTTTCAACAGTGTTTAAGACATTTAAAATAAAGATGATCACTTTTACAAACACTTGCTTTTTCATAGCATAAGTAGATTACTGTAAATTATGGTAAAAAAAAAAAAAAATCTGCACATCACATTGCATAATCAGTATGAAGTCTAAAAATCATGTAATGTAACATACAAATCCGTCACAACATGAATGTTAATAGAGCATAATACAGATGTTCCAAAAGTGGTAAATTATGTACATGTAATATACATGCATTGATTACATTGTTACGGTAATTACATATACATTAATGACACATGACGTGTCCGTGAGAGTAGGGAGTACCAAGATGGTGGCAGGTGACTTCACTTATTTCGGGCTATTAACAATCTAGTGAATACATAAAGAACAATGGTTAAATGGAAGACCACCATGGTTGAAAACCAGGTTACACTAGAATTTGCCTTGTGTAACTATCTTTAACCTAGTGTCAATATTTTGACAAGCCACAAACATATCTAGAAAACACTGTCGGCATTTGAAATTGACTGTCATCCAGAGGAAGAAGTTTGATTCAATTGAAGTTATATTTGTTTACATGTTCCCTTTATTTTTTGAGCAGTGTATCAATTGACCATAGAGAAGCAGCTGTCTCGTAAAGGTCATTACTGTTATATTTCCTTCTTGACATTGTGTAAACATTTCACCCCTGAATTAAGTTTTCTTTGTTTGCTCCGAGGTTGGATTATTTCCTTTCTCCCAGTTAGTTTCTTCATTTAACACCTTTTTTGCTATAGAACTTATGATACTGATGATACTCATACAAATACTGATGATACTCATACAAATGACTGACCTTCAACTTTGGACACAAAGCCAAGGCTCTTCTTGAGGTCAGAGCAGATGCTGTGGAGGCACCAACGAAACTTGGAGTCGCAGCGGTACTTGTTGGAGCCACAGGTGTCGTAACACATGTCCAGCTGATTGCAGCATTTGGTCATCGCAGGGATTCCCATATCCATCTGACACAGAAACACAGCAAAAGGATTCCATGTCTCTTCAAAATAAAATCATCAGTGTCTCCATACACGTCATACTAAAAGTTTTTGAAAAAGGAGAAGTGCCTCCTGTCAAGCCCTAGGACATGGAAATATGCTGTTGCCAAGACGATCTCTTAGCTTCAGCTTTTAATTATTCATTTATAGTTATTCTAATTTTGTTGTTTGTTTTTTTTTACTGAATATAGACAAAGCTTAGCCCTCATTTAGAGTTACCCTTGCTGGGATCTTTGATAATTTAATGATAAATAAAAACTGCAAATGGTTAGAACACCAGTGGCGTGCACAGACTTTTTCAGGGGCAGAAAGAAAAAAAAAAGGGGTTGTGTAGCATGTCCTCACCACTGCAGAGGGCATTTCACTATGCATTTGGAGGGCATATTTGATTTCAACAATTTGGTCACAATTGGGCGACTGCGCCCTCTGCCCACCCCTTGTGCACGTCACTGTAGAACACAGAGATAAATTTAATTAACTTTTTTAGGCCTGTGTCCTGTCTAAGGCCTCCTTTATCAGCCTGATGACCAGTGTTTACAAATAGAACAGTGGATCATATTGGATGTTGGATCATATTTACACCCTAAAAGGTAGTAATATACTAATTTGAAGTCCGAGAAGCTTTTCAGGTCAAACCAAATTCAAGATAGCTTTATTTACATTTAATTTCAATGGGTGGCTCCTACAAATTCAAAATTTGGTTACAGTTATTTGTTAAACAGGCATTCTAGACCTTATTTTAAAATGTGGTTGTTGTTTTTTTAGCCCAGGAACCAGCTTTTGATCAATCAAGCGTACCCCATCTGGAATAGGAAGGCCGAAGAAGTAGGAACTGCATCCATCAGGCTCAGGCATCTTGTAGCCGGGACGAGGGATAGGTGCTTTACCTGAAATATCAAATCGGGGGGGGGAGAAACTTCAGAAGCATGTCATGACTGCATGACCATTGATAAATCTGTAAGTTCAAAATAGACTGACATTTGCACATAGAAAGACAAAATCTAAATGTGTGACACATCCCCCAGTGACCAAATGATCCTTCTCCTATCACACAGAGGCCACAGTCCATTTCCAGGCTCTCGTCCAGATAACAGAACCAATATGGGAAAATATCTCAGTCCAGTCAGGAGCAGAGGAAAAAGCTTCCTTAAGGATTCTTGGAGGCAGCGTATTAAAATAAAATATGAACTGGAAGCTTTTAAATGTCACTACTTTTCTTTTTTTATTCTTACCCTAAAATCTAGATGAAGAAATGCAACATTAATGTATGTTTTTGTAGCATAATTACTGCAGAAAAATATAGAGAAAATAGAAAGTGATAGTTAATTATCTTGAGACACATTGAGGTTTTTCATGGTTCCAATTCAGGCAAAGATTGTCTTTGAGACAAATTAAATGAGCATACATTTTTATTATATATATTTCTTGCAGAATGTATACCTATATAGTCATATGAATTATAAGTCTTAACATGTTTAAAAGTAGTGCCTGATCCTAATTGATACAGATAGATACAATAATGTATAATTTTGCCCTTCAATCTAAAGAAAGTGATTTCCTTTGATCCAGCTCAGGTTTACCATGTCTGCAGCGATACTGGCACACTCCATCTTTTCCACCCATGAACTCCAGCATCGAGTCAAAGTAGCCGCTGACCGCCTCAAAGCTTCCTCGGAGTGAGTTAATCCCCCAGTCCTCGCTCTGATCCCCTGCCTGGGCGCCACCATCAGAGGTTTGACCTGATGGAGGTGGTGTGGATTCAGGGTTTTCAGCATCCTGAGCTGCTGCTCTGAGGATCAGCAGGCCCACCAGGAGGGGAGCGAGAAGGACCCAGCGTGTCATCCTGTGGCTCCGTCGGCTCAGTATGAACAGGATTCAGGTCCTATGAAGGGAGACACTGAAACTGACTGCATGACCTGAACTTTGAGCCAAACGTGGGCTGGCCTTGCATGTGGAAGAACGAAGTCCAGCTCCTATCTCACCTTTTCAACATGTTCAGGCTTTTATCAGTCCTGCTGATGATGAATGTGTCTGTGGAGCTTTTTAATTACATTAATTACAGTTCTGATCATTTTAGATTTGATGTTGCAGTTGCATCATAGTGGAGTCCTACAAAGAGGGACAATTTAATGACATTAGTTTCTAACATTCTGTCAATGTTTTAGGGTAGAAAACTAAAAAAATAAAATTAAAAACTTTTCCAACCTGACAAAAAAAAGAATAAATCAGGTTAAGTTTTTTAATTCATATTTTGCCTTTTACTTATAAAACACTTACTTAGATTTTTTAAAATAGAGAAAAATAGAATTGCATTTATTAATTTATCTAATGAAATTAGAGATTTTTTCTCAATTAAAGTTTCTTCTTTTTAAACTGTAGATCAGAAATCTGATATAGCTGATAAATGTTTCATCCTACCTTTTTTAGACCCTACAAAATCCCCAAACCCCAACGAAACTTTCCAATAAGGTGATATTTTAACATGACCAACATGTTGTCAAGCTGGACCATATGGGATCTGATAAATGTTCTGTGAAAAGAGACCTTATAATAAAAGAAGAAGAAAGAAACAAGGTTGATCTCAGCAACAAAACAGGGAAAACCAAAAGCGAAGAACATTTCCAGTCTCTAAAAAGACACGGCATGGATAAAATGGGGCTCGTTAACTTTAAAGATAATGAATCAGATTTTCAGATGAACATTCCTATTCCATTCTCCCTTGATTAGGTTTTAGATTTTATGTTGATAATGTTTTATTTCAATTCTAATGCTTTTTCCACCTTTAGTACTGTTAGACTAGAGCTTTCAAAAGGTATTAAACTACTCATGCAGGACTTCTGTTCAGTTTAATCTATAATTTCCTATTTTAGGACATGCACAACCCTGTACCCGCTCCCGAAGGGAAACCCCTATTAAATGCATGCAACAGCGTGCACAAGCCCATTTCTCTTCATGCACGCCCTGTTTAAAAGTTACTGTTTGCATCGCTAATACAAGCTTACTTTCTAAAAGAAGATTTGTAATTTTTCCACTATGTCAGACTCACCACCGATAAGTGAAAATGGGGACGAGCACATAGGATGGCCTTACATAAACGTATCACTAGAATGATTGACAATTAGGAGGACCACTTATTTAGATGATCCTCTACTATACCTTTAATGCACTTTGTTTATAAATCACACATTGTTTATAAATGGCAAATCAAAAATGCTAGTCTTATCCCCTTCATTCCTTAAATGTCCTTAAAATTTTTAAAAATAAATAGTAAATAATTTAGGAAAAGTGATCATTCTCATATCTGTGGACCCCTCTGAGATAACCTTTCTCTCCTCGTACTTCATACTTCAAGTTCATGAATTTAAATATACAAAAAATAATATATCTTAAGTTTACCAAGTTCATTGGTAAAATCATGCTTATTTGGACAAGATTCAAATTAAATTCCAAGTATAGGTTAAGTTTACTCGTAAGAAAAATCAGAATGTATTTTTAGCATATGAAAATACTATTCGAAGTATACTTAAATTAACCTTTTAGTCTACTATTGCTATGATGACAGAATGTTATTTTATATATTAGAAAATATATATTTTGCAATTTGGCATAGCAGGATAGGATCCTTGACCTGAGCAGGGCACTAATGTTAAACTCATCAAGCAACCAGCTTGTTAAAATATCCCACCTTATAATAATTCTGTATCCAGCAACATTGAAAAGATCCCATTAATTGTAACAGCTCATGTCTTTGTCTGGCCACAATTATTGCCAAAAATCAGCCAAGGAGGTCAGACGGATGTAAACAAGTCTCCACCACTTTCAGGTACTTAGCTTTGAGTGGAATAAGCTTAACTACAATAGTTTACAATTTACACAGTTCCCAGCTCTTAGGATGAGTATAAACAACTTGTTCATGAGAGTGGGACTTTTTTTAAGCTAATTGTTGCATTTTAAACTGTTATAAAGAGGACACCAGTTTATATTCTGAGACAGTAGTACATCTCCAGGCCTTTTCCCAGGAAATCCTTAGCCTATTACCAAATATTCATGCTCGGTGTAGTTTGCATGGCATTCGATTGCACTTTACTTGAACTGCAGAAAATAAATAAGGAGCAAAGTTGTGAAATTCTTAGTTTAAAGTATATTTAAGATGCAAGTATGTTAGTAGGGCCCATTCTTCTTTACTTCAATTCTCTAAAAATCACCAAAATATAGAAAATAATGTATATTGTGAGAAAAATGTTCCACATAACGTCAGATCACTTATTGTTATTCAGAAATATTTACTGTTTTATAAAAAAATCCACATTTTGCCACTTTGTTTCAGTTAAATCCTCTGAAAACCTCCAACCTATAGCTGCACCTGTCCTCCTCATCTCACCCTGACTGGGTTTCCTGTAAATTTCAACCCCAAGGTTTGGTGAAAAGTTGGCAGCGCTGTAGGCATAATAAAATGTTTAAAAAAAAGAAAAACACCAGTCTAACTGAGCTAAAGGTAAAGTTGTGTGCAGCAGTTCCGCAAAAAAAAAACAAAAAAAAAAAAACTAAATAATAACATTTTCAAATTAATAATTCCACTTTTACGTTTACATTTTTGATATTTTCTGAATTTGGTTTAGCCTTAGTCATACTCCGGGCCAATAGGTGGCGATAAAGCGCCGTTAGACAGAAGAGCGCTTTAAAGGAAGGAATCGTCGCCGTGAGGAAGCCACGCGACTTCTGCCACTAGATTTCTATTTACATGAACGCTGTAGCGAAGCATCTGTTCAGGACAGTTGGTAAATGCTTCTACTTTCATGGAAGTCTTGTAAATGACTGTAACCGTATTGCGCTCCGTCTGCTGAGGAACTTGTGAGCAGATAGAAAAATGGCTTTTGCCACTTTGTTCTCTGGATTGTCTCCTATGGCTGAGGATGTGAGGAATCCTGGTGGTTCTCATACTACACCAAGGTAAAACTGCACATGATCATACAGGGCTGCCAACTTTTCACCAAACCCTGGGGTGAGATTTCTAAATAGTTTGGACAGGAAACCCTGTCAGGGTGAGATGAGGACAGGTGCAGCTATAGGTTGGAGGTTTTCAGAGGATTTAACTAAATCAAAGTGTCAAAATGTGGAATTTTTATAAAACAGTAAATGTTACTGAATAACAATAAGTGATCTGTAGTTATGTGGACCATTTTTCTCACAATATACATTATTTTCTACATTCTGATGATTTTTACAGAATTAAAGTAGAGCAGAAAGGGCCCTACTAAAATACTTGCATCTTAAATATACTTTAAACTAAGAATTTCACAACTTAACTCATTAATTATTCTCTGCAGTTCAAGTAAAGTGCAATCGAAACCAATGCAAACTACACTGTGCATGAATATTTGGTAATGGGTTAAGGATTAAAAAGCTTCATTCATTATATTATTAGTTTTTCTTTCAATTGACAAAACAGCTAAACAATTCAGACCTTCTAGGAGGCTGTAGATTTTTAAAAAAAACTCACCATGACAGGAGACAGCACTTCTCTGGATGTTTCATTTGGAAAATGTGATGGAAATTAAGTTTTTAAACATATTCAATGGACCGAAATAAGGATAAATTAATAAGATAAGAATAAAATGAGAACATCCCTGTGGTTTCTCCCTCTATGAATCCAGAATAACTGAGCTGTTTTGCACATCCTCTATGGATGTGGTTGGTCTTTTCTTGGGTGGCTGATCTTTTGAAAAATAAAATGCAATGATTCTTTTTCTTTTTGTCGAGCTCCTATGGGTTTGAGAGGCAAACTTGAAAGCTTTAAGAATTAAAATATTAGTGTTGGTTTAATTATTCCCAAATTCCAACTGGAGATTATTAAACTAGACTGAATAATTATTTAACTTGTGATCAAAACATGGACTAAAACTGGGACTAAAAAAAAGCACCAGGTAAAGAGAAGACAATTAATTTGATGTGATCCTACACTCAGTCTCCACATCAATACTTTAAGCAAGCTGCTGTATTTGTTTTATTATTCATATTTACACAAGTACTATATTGCTTAAATATATTATCCTAGTCCAGATGAGATAAAATAAAACTTAAAATGACATACCTTGTAACAAATGTCTTTTTTCAATATCTAGCACAGTGAATAGGTAGAAATATGGACTGGATATGAGCCTGGCAGCCCCCCGTGTGTGAGCACTAAGGTTGTATTAAAAATGTAGACTATATTTTGATCACCATGGTATTTTTCATAAAATTTTAGTGTGAGAAATTGGGAATATAGAGTGAGAGTGTGAGATGGGTGAGTCTCACTCCCAATGGGGGAGAGTTGACAGCCCTGTTCATGTAGTTTTATTAGTAAAGCAGAATCTGTTCTGCATCACATGCTCTCTGTCTCCTAGCAACAGATCAGAGGATGGTTCAAGAGGAAAGAGGAAAACGCAGGGAGAGCAACACGGCTCTTATAAGAAGGTGAGATACTTCCCTACATTTAAAGTTAATAGACAAGATCCATCAAATTCCCTTCAGATGTAATTAATGAAGACAAGCAATAAAGAGTCTGCTTATAATTATTTAATCATCATAAAATGTCAACCCTAAAATCTACTGATCAGCATTCTTTTGAATACATCTGTTTGCATTTTTTCTAACATGTTTTGCTGTTATTATTGTTATGCAAGCCCTTGCAAAAAACAAAACAAAAAAAAATGTCATGACATGTCAAGGTTTTTTTATCTATTGACTGCTTTATCCTTTTCTCATAAAAGAAATGTCAACAGTTCCAGACAGAAGACAGCGCCACCTGCTGGAGCAAACCCTGCCAAAAGCAAGCTGCTAAGAGTGAACGCTCTTCTCCGGGCCAGATGTATAAAAGCCACTTTAACTGGAGTCAAAACAGCAGGCAGGGCGGCTATGGGCCGTATAATCAAACTAAAGATAACGGAAACATGAATAAGATGCATCAGTGGAATCAGAAGAAGAAAAAGAAACAACCTAATAATAGAAGGGCAAAACCAAAGTTAACACTACAGGTGAGCAAAGGTTGGCAGTCTGTGCTTTCAGGGGTGGAGCTAAATCTGATTAAGAAATGATTGACACCTAACAGCACCAATTAGCTAAGTAATATTTAATTTGAACAAAAAGCTTGTTAATATTTTGTAAGCTGAAGAAAACTCCTCTGGTTTATTTCATAAAGATGAATATGAGATGTTGCCTTAAATGGTAAATTAATAATTAACAGTTGCAATTTAAAGAATGAGAAATGAATAATGATATTTTTTATTAAATAATAATAAGAAGCACATTTTGAAAGCACATTTGACTAATTTGGCACCAAGATTGGGTTTTATATAGTAAAATGGTAAATGGTGTCTGTTTGTAAAGCACTTTATTTTGCTTCTATTTTCATAATATTCAGTCACCCATGCACTAAAGGTATATTTAAGAGTTTTGCTAATTTTCTCTACTTCCTGTAGGTGCTGCAGAGAGGGAACAACTATTATACGTGTGCACGAGCCCATTTTTCCTTGTGCACGCTCTGTTTAAAAGTTGCTGTTTGAATTGCTCATACAAGCTTACTTTCCAAAAAAAGATTTGCTATTTTTCCACTATGTCATTACCTGCCTGCTTAGAATTACCTCCCATCTCGCATATTGATGAGAAAACAGACTGAAAAGAGAACTTTTAAACATATACTTAATGTTTTGTCAGAAATTATATTGAATGGTGTTGATAGAAAATGCATTTCTCTGAGCAGAGAATGTTTTCATCCGACTGACTGTAGCACATCGACTAATACGTCTCCATACAAGAAAAAGTCATATTCATTCGGTTTTATCTATCCCCTAAAACTCAATTTTGGGAAATCCATGCAATGTGAAACATGAAAGTATTAAGAATCTGTTTAAAAGTTCCCTTTTCGTTCATATTTCAATCCATTTTCACGTCAGTGTACGAGAGGGAAGGTAATTCTCGGCAGGTAGGAATAATTCTCTGCATAACACCGGTAGGTGAAAATTGGGACAAGCATGTTGGACAGTCTTATGTAAACATATTACCACAATGATTGACAAATATTTTGATGATCCACCTGGAAAAAGAGCCTCCTCCTCTATACCTTTCATGCACTTTGTTTATGAATCACACATTGTTTATAAATGGCAAATCAAAAACACTAATCTTATCCCCTTCGTTCCTAAAATGTCTTTAACATTTTTAAAAGAAAAAAATTAGAAAATGATTGAGGAAAAAAATCATTCTTATATCTGTGAACCCCCCTGAGATTCCCTTCATCTTGTTATTCTCATGTTTAACCTCATGTTTAGGAGAAACCAAAATTCATGAGTCAGGAGTTTAAGGACCAGAACGCCGTGTTGTTTGATGGACGTCTACTCTGCAGACATTTTCTTTTTGAACGATGCATTAAGGTCTGTTACACAAGACTTAACAAGTTACAGGATCCTTATTGTTAAATGTGTCTGAATGAATGAATTTTTTAACCTTTTTTACAGGAAGATCAGTGCCAGCTGGAACATGCAACATGCAACGACATCATCAAAGAAGCCTGCAAATTCTACATCCAGGGAGCCTGCTTAAAGGGAGAGAAATGCCCTTACATGCATAATATCCTTTCTCTGGTTCTTGTTTTATTGCAGTTAACTTGTAGAAATTCCACACCCCTTTTCTTTTTCCTTTACTCCTCACCACAGTCGTTTCCATGCAAGTTTTTCCACAGCACAAGATGTTTTCAAGAAGGAAATTGCAAGTTCTCCCATGATCCTCTTACCGACATCACTAAAAAACTGCTGGACGAGGTTGGCTGAAATTCAAAGCGTTAAAATCCATCTCTTTGTTCTGGAAAAGCTAACGTTCAAGGCTTCTCCCTGCAGGTGTGGAAAAAAGAGGAATGTTTAAAAGAACTTGCAAAGAACAATGAAAAGGAGTCGTCAGAACAGATGCCGAAAACGGAGGAGACCAAACCTGCTGAAGAAAACAAAAACCCTGATTTTCTCACACAACCTCACAGGTATGAAAACACTAAAAAGCACATCAGGCCGCTTTAGGATTCACCTCTAAACATAAAAGTCACCACATGAACCTCAGTTATTGGAAAATATATATTGAGATTAGAAAACAGAGATCGGAAAATATAAATCAAAAATTTGGAAGGAGGTTCTCGGGGATGAAAAGGGGATAAAAAACTGCATGTACTTTCCCTGTATTCTGTTGTGGCCCCAGATGAATAAAATGGATGTGAACACCATTGCTTATAACTGATGGAAAGCTAATATTACACACCTGCCAACACCATGTTTAACCATGGTGGTGGCAGGATGGTGCATTCAAATTTATGAAAAGGCTATAAACCCCTGTATTTCTTCTGTTTCGCAAGCGTGTCTCTTTCTCTGACCGATGGTCTGTAAGCTGAAATGTAGGTTTTCTGTTGTTATGGCATTAAACTGCTTGTTTAGAGTCATTTAATCACTGAAGTTGAACCGTTTGTTTTTCCAGGCCCTGCTTTTACAACAGTGCGGATGCTGAGAAGGAACCCCCTGAGCATCCTATTGTAACAGAACCGTGTGTTTTAGATAGAAACCAACCTGACGGCTCTACGTCGACCTCTCAGAGCCAACAGGAGCCCGTTCCATATTCAGTAGAAGCTGTGCTCGGACCACAGCTGTCCAGAACTTTGTCTAGTTTCTCCAAAACTCTTACAAGTCTGGATGATTCCTCTACCTCGGAACCTCATGCTACTTCTAGCGGCACTTGTCCAAACCAAAGCATAGCTCCCTACTCTGTTGAAGCTGTCCTTCGCTCTTATTCATCAGCAGATGATTCTCCCAAAGGCCAAACACCCGATCCTGCTGCTAAAAGAATCCCATTTTATGCACCACTTGTTATTTCGGAAGAAATCAAAGCTCCTCCTTTTAGGAAGGAGAAGCTGCCTTCAAGTCTCAGTGAGGATGGATCTCAATGTACAATGCCAAAGAGCTTGTCATCAGTTGAAGTGAAATGCGGCCTCGTTTCTGACCAAATACCTGTTCTTTTTAACACACCTGAGGACGAGCAGAAAACTTACACAAAACAAGAGTTGTATAATCCGGAGAGGTCTGCATCCTGCAGGAGTAAAGGACTGAAGAATTCACTCTACCAACCGAAGCTCAATTCTTCCACAGGAAGAGATGCGATTCCAGTTCACCCTGTAGCGACCTGTGATAAGAAAAGAGACTCTGCTGGTGTCGTATTTCATAACTCTCAACTTCCTGAGAACTCCAGAAATAATCGCCTAAATGTCCAAACTGGTACACAGGAACAGTTTTCTAACACCTCCCTAAAATCCATCAGCAGAGCTCCTATTCTGGGAGATGTTTCAGCTGCAGGGAATAAAATGCAGAAAATACCATTTAAAAGCCTTTTTGCAAGCCCCCTTACTGACAGTGCTGCTCCAGGATCAGAGTCAGCAGCTGCAGCTGCGCCACTGCAGCAGGCTGAGGATCGAAGACATCCCTCCCTGCCCTTCATCAGCCTTTTTGCTTCCCCTCTTAGTGAGAATCCATCTTGTTTTCCCCGTTCTGAGAAAAAAACACCGGACCCTGCTGACCCTCCCTGTAAGCAGCAGTTGGCAGAGAATGCCGCATTGAGCTCCAAACAGAGAGCCTCTGATTCAATCTTCCCGTCTCCAGTTAGTTCTCTCAGGGAAGCGTCTGCCGAATCCTCCCAGAGGTCCAAAACCGTAAACCATCTGAAAGAGCCGCCATCTTCAGTTTGCAGCACTTTATCCGACTCGCCTCGTAATCCATCTTCAAATCGGACGGATCAGAATCAATCCGATGATTCATCTCCCAGAGGTAAGAGAGGAAAACCTGCACAAGACCAACTGATAGGAATTAAAATGGGCATTTGTTTGACAGACAACACAAAATGGTGGGTACGGTAGTTTGCAGGGACGTCCCGATACAACTTTTTTATTTACCATACTATACTGATACAGAAGCTTTGGGTCTTGACCAGTACAGATATTAGCCTGATGCAATATCAGCAGGAATCCTACATATTTCTATTTGCTTTTATAGTGTGGAATGAAAGCAGAATAATATTCAACATCAGGCATGAGAACAACTGAAGACTTTCTTTTTTTTTTTGCTTTTTTATTCACCAAAGAGTTACAGAAACTTAGAAGCAAAGTTGTTATGAGTTTTCTAATATCTGAGATTATAGAGGCAGGCCCGTATGTTGCAACATTCATTCATGTTCAATATCGGATCTGGACATCCCTAATAGTTTGGGAGATGGAGAAAAATTATTTGTAGTTTTCTTTTTTTTTTACTTCAAGATCTGAAGATAGTGGCTCGTTTTTCTTACAGGCCATTCTACCACAATGTCTTTTATTAAAATCCAGTGAAATGAGAGCCAAAGGTCAGCTGATGAGGAAATAAGAGTCCAGACATCTGTCTTTTAGCCCAAAACAGTATATTGTAGAATACTTATTTTCCTCAGTCATGACCGACTGAGGAAATGATGTCTTATAATTTCAAGCTCAGTCTGCTGTAAAGTCAGGGAGTAAATAGATAACATACTTCTCAGATTTTTAAAAACATTCTGAAATCTTGGGATTATTTTCTTCCCTATTAGAGTCACACAGCGCTTCATGTGGATCTGTCACTAAAAATCTATATGGCATCAAAGATTGTGAATAAGTTCATCCCCACATCAGTGTTTTTCACATGGATAAAAGTGATTCATGTCCACTATTTCTCCTTTCCTCTCTGGTTTGGCTTCTTTAGCAACTTCGGTCCTGAAATCCCTCTTTGTTGAGCTGACGCCGTTCCAGGAGGACGGAGAATGACAGAACAGCGGTCAGAGCAGAGTCTGATCAGGTAAGCTCCTTCTGTTGGTCCAAACATATGACTTAAACATCACTGTTTATAAGCCTTTAATGTAACAATAGTGCAGCAGCTTTATAAGCAACGGCAGCAGTAGATTACTTTTTTTTTTTTTAAAGACTTAGGTAAATACACTGACGATTTAAGCTGATTTAGCATCTTTATTTATGTATCTATTTCGTCCCTCTTATGAGTGATTTTCACACTGTGGAACCAACAATCATAGCAATATACATGATATTCAGAGAAAAGTTTTGATTCCAGGGTTTCATTAATAAATTGAAGCAGGAATCATGCTGTCTGCACAACAGCTGCTCCTGACTGGTTTAACAGGAAGCAGAGGTTTTGATTAGGCTGATAGTGGTGTTTTACTGTGTAAAGGTGTAGACTCATTTAATCCAGTAGGAGGCAGTGTTTCTACATGACATCCTGCCCTAAATAATGGGGAGTGGTGACCTAATGGTTAGGGCATAGGGCTTGGAGTCCTGAAGTTGTGAGTTTGAAAACCACTCCCACAGATTTCCACTCTGGGTCTCTGAGCAAAACCATTAACCCCCAATTGCTCCCATGATGGCAGCCCACTGCTCCCCAAGGGGATGGGTTAAATGCAGAGGTAGATTTCTCCAATACAGTTGAATTATTATTATTTTTTTTAAACTGAAACAGAGGTGCAAATATTAGTAGAGACAAAAAATATTTAGGAATCTCACGTTGAAACGTCAGCAGCAGGAGATGATCAGCATGGTCCACAGGTCTCTAGCAGATGAGCAGCGGTCCCCCCATTTATCTTTCTCCACACTGTTCCATATGTGAATTTTTTTTTTTTGGCCTCTTATTCTCCTGGATTTCTCAGTTTGATTTGTTCTTAAACTTTTATTTTCATTAGGCCAGCACACTATTCCACATCATTGTACTTGAATCCATCTCCTGTTTTTCCCAGTTTGAACAAGGGAAAAGTCACATCACATTTCTAACCCAGAGAATCTGGGAATGGAGGAATACTTTCTACAAAGTTTTTCAAAAATGTTGGTCAATGTAAAATCATAAATGTAAAAAAAAAAAAAAAAGGTTCAACTACACTTCTTTTTAAGGAATTGTCACAGGTGATTATGTTAAAGGTACAGTGGAGGATTTTTGCTATTTTTTTTTTTTTTGAAAAGATCTGCCCTCTTTAAAAAATAAAAAATACACATGCACAACCCTGTACCCGCTCCCGAGAGGGAACGCCTATTAAACACATGCGAGAGCGTGCACAAGCCCATTTCTCCTCGTGCACGCTCTGTTTAAAAGTTGCTTTCCAAAAGATTTGCAATTTTTTCACTATGTCAGACTTTCCACTGTTAAGTGAAAATAGGGCTGAGCAAGCAGGACGGCCTTACGTAAACATATCACCAGAATGATTGACAATTAGGAGGACCACTTATTTAGATGATCCACATGGAAGAACAACATCCTCACTATACCTTTAAATAGTTTCCTTTTCTGGGATTGTTTTTCCTCATTCTTCAAATTAAATTGAATTACAGATTGATTTAGTTCTTTTCTGGATGCAATAAAATATGGATGTTGTTTAGCCCTTTGGTTCTTTACCTTATCGAGATAATGACCAAACTATCTCGTTGTCACGAGAAAACAGCTTTCGTTATTTTTTGATGATGAGAAAATTAACAAATTTTCCTGAGAAAACCACTGTGTAAAAGTATCGGAGGGACGCGACCGCTGTCGGCTTCCATACCTCAGAAATCATTGCCAGTGTTGCCAGTTATTGTGGAGGATATTACAGCTATTACATTTAAATTTAACTCTTTGCAGGCTCTTTTCGTTTCTGTGTGGTCGTTTGCCATTCCCCTGCATTGATTTGTGCCCATCTGCATGAATGTTTTTCCTCATTGATATTACTCTACTATAGTTTTTTTGCAGTACAATTCTCGTTGTATTAATCTATTGTGTCCAATGACTGCAGATATTTTTGCATGTCAGTTTGTATCTGACTTTCAGTGAACTATTAAAAAAAAAAAAACCCAAAAAAGCAAAGACTGAATTCTCACTTGAGTCTCATATTTAGAAAATCAATCTGCAAGTGGTAAACATTTAACTTTGCATGATTTTGTGTAACTTGGTCAAAAAAATATGATCTGTGTGTTGATGAAGGCAAGCACACAAAAAAAGGTTTGCACAGGCTGTCTGCTGAATTGCAATTGCTCCGGTCTGCTCTGCATGTAAATACATGTTTGCTTCTGTTTTAAAACATGCAGACCTTTTGAACGTCCATGCCACCGACATCTCTGTTCTTGTTCTTTATGACATGGCAGGAATTCTCTGTAATAGGAGGAAAAAAAAAAAAAAGGAAGAATAAAATCAGGACAAGGCTAGCACAAGAGTGAATCTGTACAAGGTGTTTGCTCCGTGGGGAGACCTCAACCTAAAACGAGGATGCAAAACTGCTGCTGTTATTGGACTTGTTATCTGATGACCTCTTAGTGTTACTATTGTGACTTTATAGTGATTGATTTGTGCCACTATAAAAGATAAAGAGGCTGACTTACTTTGAAGGCAAATAAACAATGAGCTCAAGAGGTAAACTTGCACTTAACTGACTTATTTATAAGAATATTAAAGTAACATTTGCAAAAGGCTGCTGTTCACAAGTGTCCATGGGAAAATGTAAAACCATACCCACCTCTTCAAACATTTAATGTGTCTTTTAGCTGCCTAGAGTGTGACTGTGGGGTAAACGGCTCACAGGTGACGGCATTAACAACAGTGCTGTTTCCACAGGGTCCTGTAGGGAGACAGTGTCTCAAAAATGCTTTCAAACTAAAGTATTTGCTGTCTTGGTTTTATGGGTAGAGTTTGTTACGTTGGTGACTTTCTCTATTTGTCTATTTTAAATTCTTGCAGTACTTTGGGGCACCAGTTGCACTACAGGCAAACCAGCGACCTTCCTCCATCCACCACCAGTGGAAGTGCTATGGGTGAACAGCTTTGGACCACACTACTCACCAGTCAACCACCAGCTCCATTAACATGCCTGTGGAGGAGGAAGAACAGCTGATTAATGAAACAATCAAATGCTGTTTTAAAGCTCTTATAAAATAAATGCAAAGATGTGATGGTTATTGGTTTGTAAAGTTATGTATGCACTAAAACATTTTTAAGAATAAAACATTAACTGCTGAAAATAAAAAAAAAGCTGCTTTTCTTTAGTTTTTTTTTCTTTCTTTATATGAAAAACCTACTTTTGATCTTTTAATTGGTATCAAAAACTTTTGTGGGTGTTTTGTAACAGGTGAGTAAGGTGTCTGAGGGGTGCAAACCCCCTGCAAATTTAGATTGGTGAAGCAAATACAAAAAGTAGTTGATTTATACACAGTGCATCTGAAAAGGATAAAAAAAAAAAAACTTCATTTTCTAATCCACATTTCATGTTACAGTCTCATTGCTAATTGGAATTCATTTCACACACAATACCCCTTAATGACAAGTTTAAAATGAATCGATGCAAACCAGATGTAAAAAGTCATCTCAACACTTTGCTGATCCATATTAGTAGCCTTTATAACATTTGTCTTCTTTAAGATGCCACCATCTTGGCACGCATAAGGTCGTTTTGTCTGATTCCTTTATTAAGAATCTCTAACTTCATCAGGTTGAATTTGAAACATTCGGGCACAGACACTTGTAGATCTCTACAGAGATCTGGGCTCCACGCTTGGAGTTCATCGACCTGCTGTCCCACTTTGAGGTTACAGAGATATCCTGAAAGAAAAACTAGCTCCAGAGGCCTCTAAAGTCATTCATCTTTACATTAACTCTAACTAGTCTGCCTGTTCCTGTGGCGGAGAAACGTCCCCTCAGCATTATGTTGCCACCACCATGCTGAAGTGTAGATATATAATTGTGCACATAATAGGCATCTGGTTGTCTCCAAAAATGAATCCTGGGATTGAGGCTTAAGAATTCAGTCTTTGTTAGACCAGATAAATATTTCCTGAAAATCCTTTAAGCTCACTTTTGCTAACTCTGGCTGGGCTGTCATGTGTGTTTACCAAACAAGTACCTTTCGCACAGCCGCTCTACCGTGTACGTCTCATTAGTGGATTCCTGCAGTAATAAGTGTCCTTCTGGAAGGTTTTCATTTTTTAACAGAGCATCATAAGACCTCTGAGGAATCATGATTCATGGGGTTCTTGATCACCTCTCTAAGGCACCTTCTCTCTAATAATCTAGGCTGTGTTCAAATTCAGCTGCTGCATCCTCTGAAGGCCAGATTTGTTGGCCGATCACATAAGAGTGGTGCCGCTTCTTCGTATTTAAAGACTCCTTGGTATGCAGCTGACAAATGCAGCCTTCTTTTCACCCGGTTGGAAGGACAGGTCCACTGTATCCTCGCAGCCTTGGGTATCCCATGAGGAAACAGAGAAATGGCGAAGAACAGTGGTGAATATTGTAAGTGCATTTTAATATAATACAACTACGTGAATAGTTTCATCTTAAATTAATGAAAAGTCAGATGTTACAGGTAATGTTTGGTTTATTAATAGGTTTTATCTGCCCCTGTGCAAACGGGTTTGGCTGACATTTAAGCACAGATTTCAATATCTGCAGTGTGGGAATTATAAATATATCTGCGACAATGGAACTGCTGCTGGATGGAGCGCCGTTTAATTTAAATCCAAATAAATACTGCTATTGATAAATTGGCAATAAATGTTTGATTAAATAATTAAACATCACCATGAAATAAAAAGAAATATGCACACTCCATACTGCTGAAGCTCCAAAAAAAAATGTAATTAGTACACCGTAGTGAGATGTTCAGCATCCATTATTTGCTTGCTTTATGACTCAACTGTCACAGTTGCTAGGCGACGGAGCTTGCTGAGTGAGGGGAGGTGACAGCTGGATAAAGCTGGAAATGTTTAAACCTATAGTTATATATCTATAACTCCTCTGGACTCCTCTTTTTCAGAGCCTTTGAAGGACCCAGTCCAATTGGACCGAGTCTTTGAGAGGATGCAGCCACCGAAATTAAACACAGTCTGCAACCTTTAAAATCATCATTTACCAATCAGTCATTTTTGCGCGGAGTCCAGCTAAATAGAAGCTGTTTAGAGCCTCAATAAATAACATTTTAATAAAGCATAACTATAATATTTATATTCTATTTATATTTTTGCTACATGTTCCGCTGTAGGAAATCTGTTGCCTTTTGAAACAACTAATAGTTTTAGGTTTTATAACAAGGGAAAGGTGTGTGGCATTCACAATCCTGTCCAAGCAATGAATTTACCACATGGTGGCTCAAATTAAACTGTAAAATAATTGAATGGATCATCAGTGGAAACATGATCCACCTGAACTCAATTTTGAGCTTAATGTTAAGAGGCTGCAAGGCGTTTTAACACATCTACATATCCATGATGCAGATGAGTTGCTTTAAAGATTTACTCTGATTTCTTTTCACAAAATGTATTATTTTCTCCACAGATTATTTTATTTAATCCGTTAAGCTTTAGTCAGAACTCTAGATTAAACAGGCTAATCTTAATGTTCACATCAAAATAAAGCAAAAAACATAACGGATATATCAACTTTATTCAACCAAGTAGAAAAAGGACAGGTATATTTACAGTACATTTCATTTAAAATCATCAAAAGATTATAAAATCCTGCTAATACAAGGCTATAAAGCTTAATCTAAGTGTGCTTTTTATGAACATAAAGTGCAACAACTTTGTTTCTCAAAGTTCACATATAGAAGCAAAGTTATAAAACGACCTAAGGCGCTGAGTTGGTTCAGCAGTTCAGTGCTGCAGGAGTAAAACACTCAGATGGCAGTCTGTTGGCTCTGCCGGCCCACCACCCAGCCTCTGTCACCATTCAGAGCCGTTGCAGCTCTCAAAAACCAGGATCGTGGGCTGAGCCGGCCTCCCCTGCTCACAGCTTGAAGAGCATTCAGATCTACTTGCAGCAGTTTTCAGAATGTGAAACTCAGGTAACTCTGGAGTTCTCAGTCGTTAACCTCCAGACCGAAAAGCCTCAGTAGCTCCTTGTTCTCTGGGTCAATAAGGTCAGCTGGCTTCTCACCGCAGTCGTTCTCCAGCTCTGGGTCGGCACCCAGTGAAAGCAGGTATCTAAGGGGGAATGAGACATTCTCCAGGTCAGCGAAGGAGCCTGACATAGTGGAAAAACATATTCTGTCCCTGCTTATACAGAGCCTAAAATATTCTAATTATGATGGAAAGGGACTCCAAAGCCCAAAGCAACACACCCAACATGCTGACAAGCTCAGCGTGAGGGAAATAGAGATTATATAGCTATGTTTAACACCAATAAATATTGTGTTTACATACATTAGCCAGTATTGTTTATCCCTGATCTGAAAGACTTTATTTCTTGCAAACTTTTCTGCTGTTTGAGAAGGCATTGATCTCATGCTGCAGTAACAATCCCTTCCCTCACTGACACACCATAACGATCCAGTGTGGGTGCTCACCTCGCTATGTGTGGGAAGCCATCACTGCACGCCATGTGCAGCGGGGTCCACCCCTCCTCATCTCTCTGGTGGATATCTGCTCCGTAGTGCACCAGCAGCTTCACGCACTCCAGATTCCCAGTCAGCACAGCCTCGTGGATGGCTGCCATTCCTTTTAAGAAAGAAATGGTTATTTCAAATAATGCTTAAAAAGTAGGATTTCCACACAGCAAACATGTGGCACTAATAGGGCCCCATGGGGTATTCCTTCACCTGAATGGTAAATTGTGTCCAGTTTGACCCTGCTGGCCCTGATGAAACGTCCAATCCTTTCTAGCTCTCCATGCCTGACATAGTCCTGGAAAACGATGTCGTTGGGGAAGTGGACGCTCCGTGCTGGCTTCAGGGAGGCTGCACTCTTGCAGATGACTGGAAGGCCACAGCTCTGGGTGTAAGCTTTGATTCCCAGGCTCTGGGACACGGGGCATTCGTAGTACTTCATCCTGGAATCTGGTTGCAGAAGAATCCTTGTACAACTGGATGAAAGAGGCTCTCTCGCTTGGATCAGCTTCTTATCTGAGGGTCCAGCTTCCCTGCCACAGCCTTTTTATACTCTCCTCTGCTCTATTTTAAGATCAGCTAGAAGATTTGGTAGATGAGTGGTCTCCCAAGTCAGGTCCCTCCCACTAACTGGTCACAAGTCTCTTCAGACCACTTACATCAACACACATGACAGCCAGGAACCTCCTGGATATCTATCAATATCACATCTCTCGTCGTTGTCCACTTAAATATATCAGTGACATCCCAGCAGCTGAGTGCAGGGCGGGGTGCTGGAGTTTTCTAGTAAACACCAGGCAGGATCCAGGGGGTTTAAGGCAGGGCAGAGAGGTGAAATCCCTCTGAAGGAGCTGTTGATGATAAACTGCAGGGAAAAAGAAGTGATTCCTCTCATGGGGTGTGACAGGCTGGCGGATGAGCTTTTTTCCAAACTGTTTTGTGTTATACTGTTTGTCAGGGTTCAGTTTAAATATGAAACAGGAGTAAATATTTCAGGAGCTCAACGGATAGCAGGAAGAATAAGGTCTTAGTCTATATAAAGTGAAATTGTTTTACACATGTGCATAATGTTTAAGTAAATTGTCTTTACTTAAACGAATAGGTTCATAAAACCACATCTCCTTTAAAAGTGAAAGGAGGGTGGCTGTTCTTATTTATGGAAAGTGGAAGGAAAAAGGGTGATGAAATAAGTGCACAAGAAAGCTGGGTTTGGGAGAGATTAAAGGACTACAGCTGACTGTTCAAAACTGCTTTTGAGAGATTAGATTACTCTTGAGTTCTTTAGAGTAATCTAATCTAAACTTAATTTAACCTAAAAGATAAAGTGAATTTTGTATTTTAGAGCTCCAGGAATCTGGAGAGAGAGAAACCAAGTTAACTTTGTCAGTGATAATTAAGAAAGCTGTTTCCTCTGCTGGGTTTGGTCCCGATTTTGGACTTTATCAATCTGCAAAGACATTTTGCTGCTTTCATTTTCCAGTAGGACGTTGCATGTGCCCAGGTCTTCAGATTTTATACATTACATTTTTGCATTGGTCTCATTCAATGTTCTAATCTTTACAGAAAATTAACTACAAATCTAAAAAATGCTTGAAATATGATGCTAATCAATGAGTTAAACCTTTTAAACACAATCAGAAATAAATTTCCCATGAACTGATTTCCACTACACTCTACACCTTGAAACCAAAAAGGTTTTTGATTCATTCCTTTAAAAGGTGGCAGTTATCCATGCTTTTATGCCATTTTCTCTCTTACAGTGCTTTACATATTTGCATAAAGCACTCTAAACAGTTTCTCAAGAAATTACTTTTAACTTCCACTAATTTTGAAGTGACGATGTCTCCTGGACAACTGCAAATCAGAGTGCCTTCAGATAACACCCCTAAATTTTTCACTTTAATGCTTTACACCTTTCATTATTTGGCATTTGCCATAAAATTAAACCTTCATTTTAACTTAAACCTCAGAAATTTACCTCAAACTAGTTGAGTAATTTTAATATCCTTGTAGCTACATAGCAATAGAACACTATAGATTTAGTTCAGTAGATAAACTAGATTAGCTGTAGGCTGAATGTCAGATTTAATCTGTACATAGATTTGATGCATTGTTTTTTTCTTGAAATAAAACAACATTTCACATGTTATTTTTTTTTTTATTGGCCACCATTTCACATTTTCCACATTAATTTGAATATGATGGAATGCTTTGTCATTCTCCCTCCCACCACTGATGGACTGACGCACCCATCCCTTGCTCTAGTCGACCCCTCTGAGCCCAAACACGCACGCCAACATTCAGACAAGCAAACATTCACTCATTCACACAGCATTAGGCAGCTAAGGGTGCCGTATAGAGCAAAGAGATGCAGCGTGGGTGAGGGGGGTGGGGCTTTAGACTGGTTTCCTCCCTCATTTCAGATATAAGCCGACACTCCGACTAAACCACACCAATCTGTCTGCTTCAGTAACCACAGTGAATCTCCCGAATAGGCATTAATGCAGTGCGACCCACCAGAACCAGCTCCGTCTGCCTCTGCAGGTTTGAGAGGGTGAGCAGGGGCCAACTTTGCCCCAACAGGGCCAAACGGCAACAGCTGGGCACCGTGGTACAATAAAAAAAATGAAGACCTAAATTAAAAAACACCCCAACTTGAAAGCAATTAAATAAAAAATGATTTTAAAGTTAACAACTGCTTTTAGACAAAAATAGTAGATATGCTGACATAAGGAGAAAGAACAGAAAGAAACTGGGAAATGAAATTATACCCCACCCCCCTTTGTAAGATACAAAATAATTGGTCTCGGCTACAGATGTGGGGGGGGAGGGGTCCTCTGTGTGCTACACGGATGTTTAAAGTTTACTTAAAAAAAAAAAAAATAATAAAAAATAAATGATGGCCCCTTGTCCCCTGAGACAGTCTGTATAAAACCCACTGGTCCTCTTGATTTCTTAATTCAACAGAGAACAATTGCAGCCCCCTCGCCTTCGAAATGCAGATCATTTCATTCAGCTCAAACAAACACTGAACACCAAGATTTGTTTTACAGATGGGAGTCTAACTTGTTAGGAAAATTAGCTTTTCAAAACCTGACAATCAACGCCATTTTTTTAAATAATTCAGTCCAAATATGATGAGGAGCCTTGTGAACAAGCCAGTGGGGTCTCCCAGAGAGGTGGTGCGCTGTTTCAGGGATCTACTGGAGGGACAAGACCAGTCTGGGCAGAATGTGTGAAATTAAAACCTTAAACCAAAAAAAAAAAAAAATTAAAACTGCCCAACCAGCCCCAGATGGACCGACTGGTTGGTTCACAGGCTGGCTTTACTGAAAGGCAGTTCAGGGTGGACTGTTAATGTTCACAGGACAGGAAGGGTCCACAAGGAAGCAAAGGTGGTGATGGTGGTGACTGGAGGGGTTGGGGTAGGTCTCCTCTCGCCCTCTCCTCCTGCAGCTCTTACAACTCGTCGTGCCCGTCGTCGTCGCCTCCATCCTCGACATCGGAATCGTCCACATCTTCCAAGTCCTGAATATAAACAGTAATCAAAATAATTTTATTCATGTAAACACCACATGTCCATTTTAACATCGTAATTAACCAAGTTAGCACAAAGAGGGCCCAGAGAAGGCAAATGAAATACAAGCATATACAGCATAAAGTTTTATTTCACTTAATTGTGAATTCTGAATCTTTTCAGTGAGGTCATCCAAAAAAACATCTGAAGCTTTTTGAAAAACATTTGGAATAAGAGCTTGGAAAATGGTAGCAAATTCTGACAAATTTCCTCTTTATTCCTGCACTATAGCACATTTATGTTATAATAAAGGCACCCTTTAAATGGTGCTGCCTTTAGTAAAATGAGTAAGCATTTTTTGGAAATAATGGAAGAGATATTTCCGCTCCTCTGCAAAAACGTTCAGTTCAAAGTTTCAGCTGAACGGGGCACGTGCAGCTTTTATCTGGAGGATCCGGTCTCCACAGCAAACCCAGAAACAGCTGCCACAGCTGAGAGGAGGCATAAGTGGCCTGCGGTTGACCAGGCTGCAATTAGATTTCTGTGTGGATGGCAGGTGTTAATACATTAGGAGTAATCCCCTACCCCCCCAGTATATAAAAAACACACTGGGGCACACAGGATGCTTTAGAGTAGAAAGAATCAGTCTGCATCCATCACCAAGTAATAAAAAAAAAAAAAAAAAAAAAAAGTTACCAACTTCCAAAGACACCAAGTTTTATTTTTCCTCCAACTGTAAATTCCTACTAAAGTTTCCATTCTGGTTGAAATTCTGGCTCCTCATTCAGCAGATATGTAAAAATAAAAAGGCTTATACAGACAGACAATCTAAAATGTACCATAAAAAAGGCATGTTATATGACCTTGGCAAATGCCCATGTTACATTATGTACAGCATCTTTCCAAAGTCCTCCCCTCTCCAACACAAATACACAGAATGTTTGTAGGCCAACAATAACTATTTGTTTAGCTCTGGATATTCTTCAAAATAAAAATGTTTTATATTAATGTAACAATTCCAGCAAAATGCTGAACTGTCCACCTTAGCCCGCAACTTAACCTGATGCTCATAATGGGCGTTGGTCAGGGGAATTAACTCACATCTGTATCCAGGCCTTCGTCATCGTCTCCTGCAGGGGCGCCTCCATCTTTACCGCCACTCTCCAAGAACTTTGTGAAGCCCTCCAGCGTTCTCTCTCCATTATAGTCAATCACCTGTTAATCAGGAGCAACAAAACCACATCAAATAAATTAGAATCCAGAGTTCAATGCAAACTAGAAATCACAGGCTTCAATGCAAGCATTTATTTTCAGGTTTGATCCTAGCAGAACCAGCTGCTGGTTTCATTCCATGTTTCTCCTCATCCACTCTAGTGCAACAACTGCAGTTGTGTTGAGCATGAGGCAATTTGTTTATCAAATTTGCAATAATGAAGTGGGGAACGTGCACTCTGGACAACACACCGAGAACCCAACTGCTGGTGTAGACTCAAATTTCAGCATGTGGCAGAAGCGTTTAGCATGTGAACTACGCTACAGGGACTGGTGGATGCCCACCCATCCAGATCATTGTAGCTTACAGCTTCAACTGCTAGTAACCAAACATTCAACAGTATAAACATACTTCTTTGGTTTAGAGCCCAAGATTAGGCTTTTATTAAACTAAAATCAAGTTCTTCAATCGGGTTGGTCTACTTGACCTGCTGAGCCCAGTTAGCCGATTTCACTGTTTTTTTCACATCAGATACAAATACTAATCAACAGGCTAAGTAGAACCTGACATGCTTGAGGATGTACAGGTTCTGATTGGTTTTACTAGCACACCGGTCCATGTCTTGCAGTTTATGGAGCTGTAAATCTAGTTGGGGCTTCTTTACTGCCCGGTGAATAAAGATTATACTGTTTCTTTCATTCTGTTATGAAGTATTAAAAGACATAAGATCCAACTTTAATAATAACTTATCTATTAATGTGTAGGTGAAAATCTAAAACATCAAAACATTGCATTAGATATAAAAAAATAAAGTTATTTGGGCTGTAAAAGCAGAATTCATGCCAGCTATAAAGCAGTTACCTGGCGATCATCTCCTGCAGGGAAGAACTTTAGTGTTGGGAAGCTGTGGACTTTTACAGCTTCTATCTCGTTTGCTGTGGAGTCCATCTTGGCCACGATGGTGTCAGGGCTGTCCTTGTACTTCTCTCCCAGCTGTTCCCAGATGGGGGCCAGCTGTTTGCAGTGCCCACACCAAGGAGCATCTGGAAGGCAAAAGCATGATTTGTCAGCAGTATATTAATACAACTGCAGTAATCATTGAAGCAGAGCAAACCCATCAAAGCAAAAATTTTTACACTTAGAATTTAAATCTGGATTTACTATGCAAAAATCAAGACTTTAAACGTGCAGCCAAATGTCACACCTGTCCTCCACTAGTTGGGAAACAAGAGCCTTTGCCTTACTGGCCCACAACTGTGTTTCAACAGCCAGACGTGGAAAGTGATTCCAAATAATGCTCATTTGAACCTTGATGACCAAAACCTGCCGCTATATTTATCCTGATCTGTGCAGCATTAGTGCCTGGTGGCCAATTAATTTGCAGGAAGTGGAGATGACATGGCATGAAATCAAATTTTAAACATAAGGTCTATGAAAGATTTAAGCAGACTGAAGATGAATGACTAGCAGTCCATACCATACCACATTTAAGCAGGTAAAAACAAAAAAAAAACACTAATGAGTAAAAGTTGTTTCTTACAGAATTCAACAAAGACGTTCTTTGAAGGGTTAAACGCAACCTCCTCGAAATTTTTGCCCACCAAAACCTTGACGGGGGTCTTGTCCCAGTCTTCAGGAATGTCCTGGCTCATGAGGTGGGCCTACAAGATGGTTAACAGAGAAAACACTCGAGTAAATACAAATTACAAAGAAAAAAAAAATCTCTAGAGAAAATTATGTATTAAATTTGGATAAAAACGTTTCAGATTGCTTAATATTTAGAACCGATATAGCTTTCACCTTTAGTTTGCCCTCAGTGAACTGTGTGCAGAACTGTGTGATGCTCTCTGCTGTGATCTCGCTGCTCTCTGGCTTGTACTTTGTCATCTCGTCCTCCAGCGTGATGAGGCGGATGGCGGGGCAGTCCTCTTTCTTCAGGCCGAAGAACTCCAGGATGCGCTGGTTGTCATCAATTTCACTGTCAATGAAGATGAACAGGATCTGGACAAAGAGAGGATGATTTAATCCTCTAATATATTAAAATCTCAAACATCTTGAGGTTCAAGTAAAAGAAATAATGAAAAGTAATTACATAAACGCAAAAAAAAAAAAATATCCATCTGGATTCTGCAAGCAAGGTTGAATAAATGGGATATTTTATTTCTGGATTTAAAACTCAGGTTTTTAAATTTATATGGACAAATGAAATGTAGGGAATTTGTTACAAAACATAATTGTCAAAAATAAAATGTAAAGGGATCTGAAACTAAATAACTGGTGGGTAGTAACCCTCACCAACCTCTGTTTTAGTAGACATCCTACATCACCCATTTATCTGAAAGTAAAGCCTTTGTCATCCTGAGTAACAGTTTAATCCCATTTCAGATCATTTATCAAGAAACCATTTACTACATGTAACTGAGGCACTTTGCAAAAATTACCTTAATGAAATCATACAGATATGTATTGCATCAAGTCGCCAAATTTTGCAGGTTTGCAAAGTAAAAAAGGAGAAAGAAGGAATTTCAGATCATTATTCTATCTTTTAAAAAGAGATTAATCCCCAAATTCCTATGTGAAAAGAAAGTGGGTTACCTTGCACAAAACCGCCAAAACAGTTTAAGGCTTAAGGTTCCATTAATTTTTAGTGACTTCGTCTGGTTGTCTTCCAGGTTTACCTACCTGACCCTTAAATCCCTCAGCAGCTTTCTTAAAGTGATCCATTTTCTCCTGGAAGCCAGAAGAAGCTTTAGGCAGGAACATCAGGATGTGGGACTTGATGTCTCCTCCAAAGATTTTAGGGGCGGTCTGCAATAACAGAAAAAATATTCAAGTATATTTTATGTACTCCACAGTGAGGGAAAAAAATTATTTGAATAGAATTTTACCTGCTCAGTGAACTCAATGACCAGTGGCAGCTGGTTGGCCCTAACAAAAGCCAACAGCTTCTCCTTTGTCAGCTCTCCATCAAAGGTATTGCGACCTTCATCGAACTGTCAAGAAAACGTGGAAACTCTTAGACAGAAATATTCCCCGGCTGGTGTCCTAGCTAATCTGCCTGTGAACACCACACAGATTTACCAGACACACCACTTTAAAATCCTCCAAGTCTCTGTAGACCAAACAGGCTTTTAACTGGGCATCCAGAATAGCAGCTGTAAACCTCTGCCAAGCAGTTCTTGCTGGCACACAATAGCAGAAAGGGGTAACCTTCCAAGCACTGAAACCCAAAACCTAATCCCAGCGGCAATAAACAAGTTAAAATTCACCTGCTGTTTATGGAGCTGAACCCCTGCACTAGAAGGGTTCATCCAACTACAGTCTTTGAAAGAATAAATCTACCAGCATGAATCTTAAGCTGTACAACAGCAGCAGGTGTTGAAAACATTGATGCAGCTTCTAACATGGGCATTGAAATAAAAACAGAGGTCATCTCACAGGTTATGACCTTTCATCCTATTCAGTACATTCTGCATTTTAGATTTTAAAAATCCCAAAGCTAAATTTGATGTGCAAGTCGTATGCATTTCAATCCACATGTAGAAATAAATGAAAGGGAATACAGGTAAAATCAACAATGGTCTGACAACTGTCTATTCATCAGCTTTAGCTCTTTCCCCCCAAACACCACATGGGTGGGCAGAGGGTATCAAATATGTCAGAATGACATAACAGAATGCATGCCAATTACAATGCATGCTCTTACAGGTAGAGCAGGTGGAGCATATGGTAGCGAGGAGACATGGACGAAGCATAGAAGCTATAGCCATTGACGCAGCTGTGCTGGGATTCTGACCCAGAGACATTTGCCTCATGGTTTTATGCAGCTTCTGAAATAACCACATATTTAAGGACCTCATTGAAGTAAGGGAGGCTTTGTACTTTGACCGCATTTGACAAATCACAAGTGACAAGTGATCTTATCAGCAAATCCACATTCATTAACATTCCCTGAGATAACTGTATTTTCTTTTATGGAAGGTATAATTTAGGGTTACAATTGGGGGCGGGGGGGGGGTTATTTATTAGTCAGGTTGAGCAGAACAAGCCAACATCCAAAAAGAGGAACAACCTCAGACAAACTAAGATCAGTTACAGACCGATATTTGATGCTTCAGCATCTGAGGCATCAAATTACTGAGGGTGTAGACCTAAATCCAGCAGGGTGCCTTCAGCAACCATCAGAGCGTATTATACATGCTTCAGTTACATAAGAAACTGTTTTATAGACTGACTAACTGGATCTTTTTAGAGGCTGCATCTTTTGAGATAGATATTCCTGTAACTTTTGCAAGTATATTTAAATGGAAAGATTTGAAGATGACTGATTCTATAAACCTAAACAGAAAGTTACCTTTTTGAATAGGATGATTCCATCTTTGGAAACCTCGAACTTTGAGTAGATGTCATCACTGCTGGTCATAGCGAAGGGAATATCATCAATGGCTTCAGCAGCTTTTTCCAAGACTTTGGCATCAGCAGACTGCGCGTCCTATACACAAAAAACAACAAACATTCAGTAAAGGCCTCAGAAAAGGCTTAAGGACATTTTAAATGTATTTTAGCCCTCTGTAGAACAGAAAGGTTTGCCAAAAATCCTTTCCCACCTTAAAGAATCCAATGACTGCCACCTCATTGTCAGCAATCAGAGACTCTGCTGCAGTGACCTCAGTCAGGGTGGAGACCGCAGGTCCTGTACGTTTCTTCAGCCAGTTAACGATGTCTTCTGCTTGCCTGCCAGCTGCAAAAATAAATAAATACATCAAAGGTGTATAGTAAACCCACTCAGAATAAGCTGTAGTGAACCTGAACATGTAGAACCTAAACGCAGCAGTCTCTAATGTTGTTACACTGGAGATAAACACACCCTGCCATTTGTTAACGCCTCTGTGGTTTCGACAGTGAAAATGATTATAGGCACTTCTGCATTTCAGTACAAACTGAAAGAAAAAATAGAATTACCTGAATATTAAATTAATGAAAAAATAAAAAGAGCCAATGACAAATGTAGACATTCTCCTTCAGTCTAACTGGTTCCATTTTGCTCAAAGTAAAAAAATTTTTTTTATAAAACTTGCTTCTTTACAAATGGGGTTCCTGTTATTAAGCTCAACTTAGAGATATGACAAGTAAAACAGCTGATGCAAGCTAGCAGCAATTTCACAGATCAAACACTTTCAGATAGAGTGGTACATCCTGCTGTCCTTTAGTGTGGGAGGAGGTTGAGTCAAGAAACTGGATTTAACCCGAAGGAGTCATTTCCACAAGACTCCTTCCAAGCCTCCCCTCCCTTTCCTAAAGGAGCAAGACTCAAGACAGCAGAGGAGGCGACGTGAAGAAATGCACATCATACTTCCCGGCTCTGTTTCAGCATGGGAAAAACGTGCTACAGAAGCCCAGCCCACTTTAAGTCTGATGAAAGCTGATTGGTTGTCCAACTTTTTTTTTTTTTTTAAATCGAGGCTTATTTTATTGATTTTATCTGAGAACAGTTAGAAATTAAGCCATTTACTCAAAGTGAAAATATGAGTGGTAAAGAAAATTATACTGCTAAAAACTGCAAGCAGTTAAAAGGCAGATTTTAAACTATAAAAATATGCAAATAAGCATTTACCAGAGTACTCCTTTGGAGATCCCTTCTCTCCACCCTTAAAGAACTTGATGGTGGGGTACCCCCGTACGCCGTACTCCTGAGCCAGCTCGCTCTCCTCAGTGGCGTCTACTTTGCCCAGGCGGATCTCTGAGCCCTCTGCTTTCAGCATGCCGGCAGCCTTGGCGTATTCTGGAGCCAGGGCCTTGCAGTGGCCGCACCATGGTGCATCTGTGGAGAGCATTCATTTTAAAAAAGGTTCGAGAGGAAGCTGGTGAATTTCTAAAAGAAGACTATAAATAAAGGTAGAGGATCTTAGAGCTAGCAAAGACTTTTTTTTTTTGTTTCCTTTGAGGGATGTGAAAAAAGCTACAAAATTAGTTAAATCACGGAGCGTTATTGTGTATTCAAATTTGTGAAAAAAATACTGATTGGCAACAGAATCCAAGAAATTAATAGATCAAAAGATTTAGAATGACTAAATCAAAGCAGACTTGAACCTGTAAATGATATAATGGATTTTTTCCCCCAAAAAAGCATTTCTGGCATTTTAGTACATCTTAACACAATATTTACAAATTTCCCAGAAGAACATGCACTTTACTGTTTCACATAAACACCATTTCCATCAATTCTTAACTCGCAAATTTCATATAAATAATCAATTGACTAAATGAAACCTGTTCATTCTTTGTGTTTTCCAAGTGATAGAACACATTTCCTGGTGAGATTTAGCACAAAAAAAGCAGATATGTATTCGGCATTCATAAAATTCGACAGCAATCTTTTCAAAGTCTGGTTTGAAAGCTCAGAATAATATGAAATAATGCAAACAAAAGTTGACAATATTTGAAAAGTTTGTAAAAAAAATTCAAGTGTTGCATTTTAGTTTCCAGATCTATATGCTTTTAATAAAGCAGAAATCTTTTACATATTTAAAGTCTAAAACGGAGGTCTTCAATAGGGGGTCCGTGACCTCTAGGGGGTCCACGCAGGTACTGCATGGAGGTCACGAAAGTTTTGGCTGATTAAACTTTTATTTTATATTCCCCCCCTGCAATTTTTTCCACTTATAGAAATGTCTTTAAACACACATTAACATTAATTCATCACGCTGTAGTAAACAGATAAATGGAGGCATAGGATGTCTTTCAGTCATCAATGCAAACATTCACCGATACAAACAATCAGCGACACACAGGAACTCTTTCAAGCTGGGCACAGTTTCATTCACAACACCTGTTCCATCAACGAGGAACCAGAATCAGACATACTTTAGCAATCCCAGGGAGAAATTACTTTTGGTACATGACTCCATCTGTAATAGAGTAACTATAGGACCAGTTTGATATAACACAATTTCAGGCAAAATATTAAATTAGGGGGTCCCTGCTCCATCTCGCCATCAGTTTGGGGGTCATCGGCCTGGGAAACGTTGAAGACCCCTGGTATAAATTAAGAAATATTTTTTTTGTTGATAAATGGAAATTTGTAGAATTTGAGAATTATACATTAGACTATCCTACAAATGAAGTTTGAAGTCTTCCACAGGAACAAAAACATCATGCAACAGAATAATATCGATTTATTACTCCACAGAATATTTATTACTCCCAGAATATCTTAATACCCATTAGTTCTATTCAATGAGCAGCAGTTTGCTGCAAAAAAAAAAAAAAAAAAAAAAAAAAGATCAAGGGACATGAATAAGTTAAAATTAAGGTGTTGTTTACTCGCACATCTCAAACGGAAGGGCCACGTCTAATAAAGTGGTGCATCATGCATTATCTCGTCACTGTGTGAAACTTCCTCGTCCACGTTACTGTTAACGAACTTTAGTAGAATGTACACGTCAACCTAGCAGCACAGTCCATTCATGATCCCCGCCCAGCTCAGTGGGCCCTTCATCAAACTTCCCACTCCGTTTTAATTGGACAGCCTCGCCTCACGGTCACCTATTACTGGTCAACGCTGCCATCACCCAATCCACGCAGGTCCCTACAACCTGAGAAAAGTGGAGCGGGATGGGCCCGTGGGGCCAGCCAGGACTGACTGAGAGCATTCAGAATAATCTTGACCTCAGCACGGTCTGCATCCCAGGTAATTAACCGGGACAATCTGGTCTATAAGGAGGTGAAAGTTAACTGAAAGTAATTCAAACCACAGCAGCCAATCGAAACTTTCGGCTCCGTTTCCATACAGGCATAAAGTGAGACAGAGGGGTCCCAGAATGTCCCAGGAGACGAGTTGATTTAAAACACCTTTCAAAGCTAGTTCATTTAAACGACTAAATAAACCCATTTTTAATGCTTTTAGCTAGCGCTTTTTTCCAACTGAATAAGAACGCTTCTACAGACAGAAAATCTCCCCCGAAATGCTGTTTTTTAAAAGCTTTTTTTTTTAAGAAAAAATAAATCAGCGCTTGGTAAGCAGAGTTAGCTCGTCTGAGCAGATTTATCGGGACACGTCTGTGTTAGCGGCTCTCGGCAGCAACTGAAACCTCAAAGTTCAGCGCTAATGTTTACAGGAAGAGAGGAAAAAAATGGCAGCTAGCATAAGCTAACAGCCTTTGATACTTACAGAACTCAACCAAGATGTTGGGGTGAGCCTGGAGAGCCTCGTCGAAGTTACTTTTCTTCAGCACCAAGACGTCTTCTTCTTCTGCGATGTCAGCCCTGCAACTGGCAACGGCCAGTGTACATAAGAGGAAAAACTTAAACATAATTACCGTCGAGTTTTCTTTCTCAACAGAGGGACTGCAGTTGATAGTTAAGAAATAAATTTGTGCCGGTTGGGGAGTTTTTAGGATTGGGAGAGTAGCTGGTGTTTTTGTGTCTACCGCTATTAACGTGGCAGTGGACGCAAACCGGAGGGGTTAGCGGCAGTGCGCATGCGCATTTATGGGGACGAAAGCAGTTCGTGTTGAAATGTGACTGGACCACAGCAGGCTGCACCTGGAAGTGAAAACCGGGCACCACGGAACACTGCAGCTATGCTGCACAAAACACAGCGACCGTGACCAGATGGTGATACTTCACCAAGAAAATACTATTATTTCGAGCAAATGATTAATGTTCATTATTTGTCGAATTTTATAGACAAAAAAAATTAAGTTATTTTTTTTTTAAAGGTTCAAATATTGGGAGGAACTGATTACACAAACTTTTCCTCTTTACTAAGCCTTTCAAATTCAACGATTTTATTGAATTTTTAGGTTTATGGTCTGTTATTGGCTGTTTTATTTGTTATATTTTGGAACTTTTTAACTGTGTTAGAATAGAACCAGTGGCGGTTCTAGACCAAATGTACCAGGGGGCCAGAAGGGGGCCAAAGTGTTTTCATGGGGGCACAGAAAAGAATGAAATAAAAAACAGGGCAAGGTATTCAAATATATTAAGATTAATTAAAAATCTATTTCTTATGAGGTCAATATATGTTCATAATTTAGAAATTTTAATTAAATTTTTCATTTAAGTTAAAATTACTGTTTTCTATTAAATCTGAATTAGAATTCAAGAAAAACTGATAAATTCACCTGTAAAAATTAGAGCAATTGGTTTTGAAAAAAACATTTAGCAGATGAAAACTGGGATCATATTTCAATACCGCTTAATTTCAATACCTTATTGTTTTTAAATAATTAGTAAAACAGAATTTGTAAAGAAAAAAATGAAATAGATCCAAAGGACCTATCAGTTACTATGTCTGTTCCAGCGCATATCATCATTAGAATTTCTTTGAGTATTATGTCTTCACTACAGGGGCCATAACAGGGGCCGAGACATGATCTACAGGGACATTGGCCCCTGTCTAGAACCGCCCATGAATAGAACAGAATAAAATAAAATAGAACAGAAAATCTCTTTATTCTCCCACAACGGGGAAATTCTGGTCTTACAGCAGCAAAAGGATTATAGGAAATTGTCACGCAAATGTGGACCTTAGAAGAGTGTATATAGGTGACATTTTTTTTTTTTTTTTTTTTATCAAACCTTTATTTAACCAGGGGAAAAAAATCCCATTGAGATTAAAAACCTCTTTTTCAAGAGAGTCCTGGCCAAGAGGCAGCAAAGTTACATAATAAACAGAGATACATTCAATTAAATTACATATCAACCTTTCAAGTAAAACAATTACAGATTTTTGAGGCTGCTTCAAATCCTTTCACTTTCAACTTAAAAACATTTAAAGATAAAAAACTCAGTCAACTTCCAGTTTCTTTGAAAAAGATTCCACGCATAAGGAGCTGCGTAGCTAAAAGCTTTCTTCCCTACTTCTGTGCGGGTAAAAGGAACAGTGAGCAACAGCTGATTGTTGGATCTCAGGACATAAGAAGCCATGCTTTTCTGTGTAAGTAAGATAAATATGTAAAAGGGCAGTAATCCAGGAAGGGCCTTGGAAATTAAAGTGTACCAATGACACTGCCTTCTCATAGAGAGGGAAGGCCATCCCACCTGAGCATACAGGTCACAGTGATGTCATGGCTCTACAGTTTATGATGAACCTTAATGAAGTATGGTAAACAGAGTCCAACATTTGAAGACATGAAGAAGTAACATTCTTATAAAAAAGGACACCATAATCTAAGACCGATAAAAACGTAGTAGAGACAAGGTGCTTTTTTAGTCCCAAAGGAAAACATGTCTTATTACGAAAGAAGAATCCCAGTTTAACTTTTAATTTCTTCACAAGTTTATAAATAAAAGGTTTGAAGGTGAGGGAGTCATGAATTCCAATTCCAAGGTATTTATATTTATATACCACCTCAATGACACCCCCCTCCAGAGTTGACACTACTGACAGGGTTTGAGGCACATTCTTATGATTTGAAAACCACATTAACTTAAGAAATAATTTAAGATTAATAAATGAATACTGTACAGCAACAAATACTTTCTGTAGGGCATAAATAGCCTGTTCAAGAGATGACCCAAAGCAATAAAAGACATAATAGTGAAGAGTTAAAAAAGAAATAAAATAAATTACTGTACTGTAATTTTTTTTTAACAATATAAATACTGTACACCTGGAGAATAAATAATCAATATACAGCTGTGGACATTGTCCACATTCAATTGTCCATTGTAATGGACAATTGAAAATAGCAGCAACATCAGGGATGTGCAAAATGACAGCAGTATGTTATTTAACTGAATAACTGTAGCACTGTGATATTATCTAAAAATGCAAAGTGCATTACAAATAAAATGTATTATTATTATGCATGCATCTTAAAAAGTTAAATGAAGTCAAAACAAGATTGCACATAATTATATGTTTAGGTTTTATTTCATTGATTTGGATGATTACAGCCATTGGCATTCCCAAAAATTCCTAAAAAACTGTAAATTTGTGACCAATGTATGGCCAACACAATCATGGTAAACAACTGCTGAATTGGCCTCTGCATATAGGGTTTATATAGATTTGTTTTTTCAGAGGTCTTTTCGGGGTCTTAGTCCACACAGCTGATTTAAAAAAATTCATGTCAGCATAACAAACCAACGCCCCATCTAGCTCTCAGCAAGGTGTGGAGAGAACATTTCTAAAATTGCTCCTCACTGCTCAACACATCTATAACACATGGGCAACTTTTTATTTTTTTACTAAAAAGGTCTTTCATCAGTGCTATAAATGTAGTTAACATGGGACAGTTTTATAACCTATGGATATTCTCATATGAGACCCATTTATCTCTTTTTTCAATTAAATGTAAATGACTGGTAATAGACCATCGGTTTGTTTGCCTAACTGGGTCTGGTATCTTTCATCTTCCTCTACAATATGACAATGATTCTTTGTGGTGTCTAGGCTGGGTTAGTTTGTTGTTTGGTCCACTCCAGCACAGTGATGCTGTGGTCATTACAGCAGCTATAGGTAATTTAAAAATGCGCAGGTCCCTGTGGAGAACTTATCTGTGGCTCTTGTTTTTTCATTCAACTTTAAAGCTCACCCAAATGCCTTTTTTTTACGTAATAATACTCTCAAGGCAGCTTTTATCACCTTTGCACCTTGTCCTACCACAGATTTTTCATTTAATTAATATTTGATCAGTTTGCTTGAAATCAACATTGAACAGCCAACTTCTGTAGTGAAGACTATTTGTAACCTGCCCCCTTGTGGAGCATGCCAGTCCCACATGTTTCTCCTATGACTGTTTGGGGCATGACCGTTTATTACTGAAAATATATCTTTAGAGCTGGCATCATGTAATATTCTTTTATTCGGAGTAGAAGTAAACCACTACTATGAATACAATTTTTTTTTTTTTATCATAATCACAAAATTTAAGTGAAATTTTAAGGAAACCAGAATTTTGCTGAGTTTTCTGAAGATGTTTCAACACCCATCCACCAGTTTTTGTCAATTCTGTTGGCCCCCACCAGAGCTCGCACTAGACTCAAGCCCTAACCTGAATGACTGAGAAGTTACACATGCTATCAACTTTATTTTAAGAAAATTAACTGAAATTCAAATATATATCTGATTGATATCATTATATGAGTTTCACTTTTTAAAGTATTTTACTGTAATACAACAATTCAATGGAATTTTAATGTATCACTATTTAAATGACTAAATATTGTTTAGCACCATCACAGGAATTCCCAAAGACCTTTAAGCCAAAACTTTGCACAGTACGGAGGGTGTTCTCAAAAGGAAGAATTGACTGGGCTAAAATCTATAGCACAGAGGCAGTGTCTACAAAGGCCCTTACTAATAAATAGGAAAATAACTTCTCAACACCTCCTAAGCTGATTATCTTCTGTATTTAAACATGTTAGCTAATAGATCTGTCTGGGAATTAAGCAACTGTTGTAATGAATCCCAATCAGTTAAATTCAAAAATACTTTATTAATATGAAAGGGAAAGATAAATGTAACTGGACATGGTGGATTTCCTGTAGCGGTGTGTCTTACAACTGAAGAAACTTTGTTTGTATGATGGTCTGATGAAGAGGATGGTCACTGTTGTCTACGATGTTCTTTATTTTATAAAGAACACTTCTTTGTGAAATATTCTCCAGAGGTTCTAGAGGAGTTCCCAGAATAAGGCCATCTTCTTTACCAGCTTGTTGTGCTTCTTTAAGTCATTTGCTCTGATGCTGTTACATCAGCAGATGATGACAGAACAGATCACCAAAAGGAACTTATAGAAGATATGCATCTTGCAGTAAACACTGAAGGACCTAAGCCTCTTATTCTGTTTTGTCCCAAACGGCTCTCCATACATGTAGACGGCTTTACAGTTTTATGTATAAAAAGCTTTGCTGAATAATCTTTGACATTTTTCACAGATTCAATTAACCGATGTGAAAAAATATAGATTTCCAATGTATACATACACAACACTGATTCATTGTTCAAGTTTAATAGTTATAATGAAAGATTAACAGCTTTGAAAAGTATTAATGCATTTGACAGCCACAAACATCAATGCATTTAATTTATTTTATCACATTACACTTACAAATTTACCATATTATATTTGTGGTTATTGGACAGAACAACACAACATAGTGCATAACTCTAAGGTGAAGGAAAGTTAACATATGGTTTTTAAAAATGTTTACCAGTGCTGCGTACATCTGGGTTCTGCTCCCCTCCTTAAATTAAGAGCTCTACCAACTGTCTCCAAAGGTCACAGTAAACAGGGTCCTCTTGTCTGTAACTTAATCTCAGTATAAATACAGCATGTCTTATCTCTAGAGGTGCAAAGCTGTTAGAGTAATACTCCAAAGGCTTGCAACTACAATTACAATGAACAGGGGTTATAAAAATGATGACTCAAGGTTACTGTGTATACATGCATGCCAGCCGTTTCAATTTGGGTTGTAAAAAAAACCTTTTAAAACCTTTCCAGCTCACAAATATGCCA